TTACTATAATTTACTTCTCTTTAGCTAAATTATATTAAAATCATGTTCAAATGAGATATAGGTATAACTAAAGAGAAGTTAAATTTAATATTATGAGTTGATGTGAAAACCTAGACCAGAGGATCGCAATTCAAATCATTATAAGGGATCTAAGGTTTGGATCAAAGTCTAGACCAATTTCATTCATATTCTCACACAATTTTAAGAAAAATTGTTCATTTAATTTTATTAAGGGTTGGGTGTATGCATTAATTCGTACGGTTTTCTAAGAGAGGGCTCTACTAATTATTTCGCGTCATGTTCATCTGTGGCTATATTCATTTCAAAGGTACTGTCATTTCGCGTCGTTTTCAGTAGATGTCATTTGCTTTAGCGTGAACAATAATTTGTTTCATTCTTTGAAAATGTTAAAATTTGTACCAGATATAGTGTTTTGCGGGGAGTTCTTCTTCAATACTTTAACATGAAGAAAAGTGCTACCGAAAGCCATCGTATTTTACTGGACGTTTTTGGTGACCATGCTTTAGCCGAACGAACGTGCCAAAAGTGGTTTGCACGGTTAAAAAGTGGCAATTTCGACTTAGACGACGGAGCCAAAAAATTTCAAGACGAAGAATTGGAGATATTGCTCGATGCACAGTTCATGCCAGACGCAAGAAGATCTTGCAAGAGTATTAGAAGCTTGGAAATGTGGTGCCTTATGAATTAAAGCCAAGAGACGTCGAACGTCGATTCTGCATGTCGGAAATGTTGCTTCAACGCCACCAAAGAAGTAATTTAGCATCGGATTGTCACTGGCGATGAAAATGGGTTCATTATGATAACCCAAAGTTCAAGAGATCGTATGTGAAGCCCGGCCAACCATCGACATCCACGGCAAAGCCGAATATCTATGGTGCCATGGTTATGCTATGTATTTGGTGGGACCACAAGGGTGTGCTCTATTATGAGCTATTGAAATCGGATCAGACGATCAATGAGGACCTCTACGAAACACATGATGAAAAATTATTGATTCGTGTCTGGTCGCATATTCTGGTCGTTTTTCCGCGATGGCCTTTTTCAAACGAATCAATAATTTTTCATCATGACAACGCTCGGCCACATGTTGCAAGGCCAGTTAAAAACTATTTGGAAAACTGTGGGTGGGAAGTTCTACCTCACCCGCCTTATAGCCCAGACATAGCACCTTCCGATTACCACTTGTTCAGATCAATGCAGAATGCCCTCACCGTAGTACGCTTCACTTCAGAACATGGTATCAGAAATTGGCTCGATTATTTCTTGACCTCCAAGCCGGAGAAGTTCTTTTGGGATGGGATCCACAAACTGCCAGAAAGATGGGCAAACATCGTAGCTTCCGATGGGCAATACTTTGAACATTAAATGTTCCAATATCACACATTTTGTTAGGTGGAAAGTCGGAAATTATTATACAGAATATATTGGGGACAGAGAAAGGGATGGTTAATCATGACATTGCTGAGGTATACTTGAGAGTATATTTTCAAGCAATTTTATAAATATATAACTCAAACTTTGAACGACATGTTCGGAATAAGGTTTCTTAGAATAACGAAAATCAATATATGGAGTATTTGGGAATTGTGGTAATTTGTAGACTATATTCATACATTTTAGGCTTTAAACTATAGTACATCCAATATTATACTGTAACGGATTTTTTGACCTTGTAACTCACTCTTGAGTTCGATCACTGGATTGGTCAATAAAAGTCCCAATTTAATGGCTATACACTTATCTTTATTTCTAATTCCAACAACTAACACTTATTGCTCGTTCATCGAGCTTATCACTTCTTGCTTATGTCTCAATTGCTCTTAACACGACAACACTCTAACTAGAACTGTGTTTGCTGCACAATCCGGCAGCCCTTATACAGTAAATCTTTAACAAAACATTGCTTCTAGAACATTCTGTACGAATTCGCTGTCTAGTTGCTTCTAGCAATTTATCGTCGGTTCGATTTTGTTCTATCACCCGTGCTGGGTTGTATTTTTTGGCAATACAACATTCTATTAACAGAATAAAATGCTCCATGAGTTTCATTAATCTACCTCACATACCATCACCAACATATGTACAATATATGGAGTAAAATCAACTAGATGTTTGAAAATTCTGTAATTAGTTATATGGGGGCTAGGGCAAGTTTTCACCCGATTTTACTCATTTTATATTATATATTGGCCGATACATGCGGTATGAAGTAAACCGGAAGTTCGAAAATATTTCGATAAGGTATATAGGGGGAAGTATTGACCCGATTTAATCCATTTTTGACTTAGCATCAGGCACTGGGGTCGAATTTTGACAATTTTTAGACTGGAGATGTATGGTATACCAATACCTGAAATGCACTATTTGTGCAAAGCTTTGTCCCGATATATTCATTGTTGCTTGATTTGTAGACTGAAAAGTGTAAGAATCATATGAAATTCAAAATTGTGCTATATGGGAATTGGCGTGGTTGTAGCCCGATTTTCACACTGTAACACTGGAATGTTTAAATTATCTATGTACCAAATTTGGTTGAAATTGGTAGAGTAGTTTCGGAGATATGTCATTTTACCCAAATGTGGGCGGTACCATGCCAATCGTCCAATTTTTACATCGGCTCCTATAAAACCTCCTTGTATCACCCTGGGTGTAAAATTAAATGTCTCTGACGCATTTAGTTATTGACTTATCGTACTTTCAGTAGTTTTTAACAAAACCGTTATATGAGGAGTGGGTGGTGTTATCATCCAATTTCATCCATTTTCATACTATCGAAAGAAGAGTCAAAAATATCTATTCTGTGCAAATTTTAGTCATATACCTCGAATAGTTTAGGATATATATTTGTACATATTTTAAACCTATTAGAGGCGGGGCCAAGCTCACTTAAAATTTTTGTTTTCAACCATAAATTCCCCTCCCGAAGTAATTCGTTGCACTGAATAATAGCCTTGTATCTAATTGTGGAGCTTAGTTATGGCACTTTATAGGTTTCGATTAATGGCGTTTTATGGCCATGGCAGTAGTCCGATTTCGCCCATTGTAACCCAACAAAATACTCAAGCCGCTTGCCGTCAGGTCAAGGAGAAATACAATGAAACGTTGTTGACAACATACAAGGCAATCAGCCGGCCGAGCACTTACACGAGTTCTGTATGCTTTTGGTTAAGGAATACAGCGAACTGCTCTCCATGCAGTTTCTACTGATATGTTTCGCAGAAACCACCTCTGCAGTAGTCTGTTAGAAGCGGAACCGCCTCCTAGGTATATCAAGAAGTCCTTCCTTGACTACGTCGTCGACATTGAACAGTACACCGACCAGACTTCGGACGCAACATACTTCAGCCATGCACTGACCACCATTCACAGTAAAACCATTAACTCCTTTACCGACCCCCTCTAAGTCAATGGCGTACTTGGGGTCAAACCAGCAGCCATTGCAGACGAAGAGCTCGGGTTGCCACGAGAATCTAGAGTGACCCTGGCGCAACTTCATTTTGCGTATGATATTTAGATGTTTGCAAGGGTAGAAAAACTAAATACATTTTATTTAGGCAATTGATATTCATCGATTATCTAAAATCTGAATAACCCTTGTTAAAGTTGTTAATATTTTCATTTAAATATTATCATATAGAGGTAAGTCATTTGGCAACATAACCCTAAAATGTCTCTTTCACCTTGTTATATTTTTAATTAGGCTGCACTTACCTTCACTTCCTTATCACACTCGGAGATATTGTTACGTAGAAAACTCATTGCATCATAGTAATATAAAGAGGGTTCTCCTATACTGGACTCGCGCAATCGTTTTACTTCCCGTTGATAATTCGATCGTAGAGTAGCAATTTTTTTCTTAGCATCCATTATCTTGGCATTAGGCATTATTTCTCTGTATTTTGTAAGCATTACTTCATAATATTTGTTTCTTATATTTCGGTCATAATAAGATTTAATGTTCATATCCCATAGAGCCGGTAAAGAGCGGTACAAATTAATGAACTCAATAACAAATTGTTGTTCATCCGTAAGTGCAGTGCATTCAGATAGACTTTCGTGCTCATTCATTTCTCCCGTGGATTCTATGTTATCGCCTTCCATAGAGATATCCTGTCAATATTATGTAATTTTAGAACAGAATTTTAGAATATTTGCTATTGCTTATAACACAAGTCTCTAGATTTCTCTTTCTGCTATTGATGTATCGAGATGTTCAAACAAAATATATATACATTCCTAATATATAAAATATCCGATAATCGAAAACCTTTGTACCGATTTTTTAAGCTAATATATTTACAAACCAATTAAACAAGAAATATCTTTCACATGGAAAGCAGGAGTGATTGAGGTTGATTTTTTTTCTCTTGCAGTTTTCGACAAACAATAAAGCAATTTAGAATTTGTATTTAACAAATAAATATTACACATTATTTTTATTGAAAATCCCAATAAATGTCACCCAAGCTTCTGCAGTTATAAAAATTATTGATGATATATTTATACAGTAAATTATCTCATAATTTCTCAACTCAGTCTCCATCTTAAGATCAGGGACTCTATTATATACTAATTAAATGTACTTACCTCATCTTCATTCAAATCATCCATTCTATATTTTACATCACACTCCGAGTAATTTTTAAGTATAAAGCGCATGGCATCATAGTAATATAGAGCAGGCTCTTTCAGTTTGGATGTGCTCAATCGTTTTACTTCTTGCTCGAAATCCAATCGCAGAGTAGCAATCTTTTTCTTAACGGCCAATATATTGGCATTAGGCATTATTTCCCTGTATTTTGTAACCATAATTCCATATTGCTTAATTTTAATTGCTCGATTATGATAATAGGCATTTTTAAAATCCCATAGGGCCGGTAAAGTACGATACAAATTTAAAAATTCTATAATAAATTTTCTTTCATCTGTAAGCTTTTCATTCTGTTCGCTATCCATATCATTTTGAGTTTCACTTTGTTCTTGTTTTGAAGTTTCGGTGTACTCAGTATCACTGTCAATTTCGCTGATTTCATCTGTACGTTCTTCGTTGTCTCCATCCATGGAAGTATCCTAGTATATGAAAGTTAACAATTAATATGATTAAAAAAATAATTAAATTTTTTACATTATTTAAAAAAACACTTACTTGTGTATCGTCAAGATCATACAATAAGGTCTCATTTTCACTTTTGGATTCAATGTTGCAAATGAATCGCAATGCATCAAAATAGTATAGATTTGTTTTAAAAGGTCGTTTTAACTCTCGACGAATATTTGTTCGTAGACTACTCATTTTTCTTTTAATGTCATTTTTATCAGCATCTGGATATCTCTCCCTATATTTTTCCAGCAAAATATTGTATTGTATCGCTTTTGATTCACGATCGTTGTATTGACTACATTTCCTATCCCACAATGCTGGTAAAGTGCGGTACAATTCAATAAGCTCAATAATAAATTTTTGCTCAGAAGTAAGTTCGTCGTGTTCTTCCTTAACAGTATTTTCACACTGGCTTTGATTAGGATCTGAGGTAGAAATATCAGAGCTATTGGCGAAATCAGCATCTATTTCAGTTTTCAAATTATGGTGGACTTGAAACGATTTCTAGCATGAAAAAACAGTATTAATATTACCTACTTATGAAATTAATATAACATTTTAAAATATATTTGCATGTGATACCTTTGTTTCACCTAAATAGTTGCTCTTTAAGAAATCCATGGCTTCAAAATAATACAAACGGGATATTACATTTGGAGGACATCTTTTTAATTCGCGACGATATGCTGATCGGAGATTTTTAATTTTTTTTATAACAACTGTTCTATCGGCATCGGGATATTTTTCTCTATACTTATCCAACAAAATATCAAATTCTTCTCGTCTTTTGTTTTTGTTCATATAATGTTTATGCTTATTGTTCCATAGTGTTGGTAAATTTCGGTACAAATCAATTAGCTCAAGAGTGAATTCTTTTTCATCCTTAGCTTTATCGTCTCTTACTATTTCCGACACAGTTACTACTCTAGAATTATAATCAATTGTCTTATCGGCGCTATTGTTTTTGTTCTATAAATACCCAAGACGATTTATTCAAAACTTTTATAGATTTATAATAGCAAACTTACAGCTTCGGTGTTTTCACTTATAAATTCGCTAGAAATATCTTCTTCCTTCATATGTAACGTAGTATCCATTCCACCTGAATCTAGTTCTATTTCAACCCTCTCAAATCCATTTAATACACAGCTTTTATCATCATTTACCTATTAGCATAGAATAACATATTTCTTGAAATACTAGACTTTTAGCACAATTACATACCCGAATAGGATTTTCCCATGGTTCCTCGAATTCTACATCTTCTATGGTAGGACTTCTCTCCGATTCTGATTCCAAAGCATTAAAATTCAGCTTATGATTTTCACACATATGTCGTACAAATTTATCCAATTGTAGAAATGTAAAGTCACAAAAATCACACATTAGAAAGAACTCCTCTCTTCCCACCGCCAATAGAGTTGTTATTTCGCCACATTTTGTTAAGCCCCATTTATTAAGTGCTTTCAACTCTAGACTCATTATTTAATCTTAAATCGCAAACTTGTTTTATATTAAGAATTACTGCATGGATAAAATTCCTGAACCAAATGAAAACAACGCTCATTGAAATTCAATGATTGAATGTAAGGAAAGAGATATTATTTTCTTATCGATATATCGAGTGTAACGATTATTCGCTTTACATGGATTCTACGTCTAACATTTTTTATTCCAGTTGGATATTTTGCGATTTCGAGATATTCGCACTTAAAGTCCGAAAATTCACAAATTAAAGTATGTAAGTTTTCTATGTTTTATAAATTTTACAATATATTGTACAATATTATATCATTACACATTACACATCATTAAACAGTTTTTACACATTTATTTAATCATAAATAGTGCACAAATAATTTTAAATTATAATTAAATTTTTTTTAATATTACTTAGTTACACAATAACTCACGCAAGCAAATCAAAAGAGTTACCATACCCATATTTTACAAATTCAACATAGGGATGTTCATAGTCCTTTCGCGTCAAACTACTGTTTGCATAGTCGGCCATCGACCGCGCTTCAAATAGCCCTGATCGATCCAACACCGGGCTGCTGGCAATATTGCCAATGCAGACTGCACATTGCTAATGTTTAGCAATTGATGTCTAAACATGTTTTATAACATTTTCATTTGCACACAGATTTTGAAGATGCAATATGTACATGCATAGTTTCGGTAGCATGATGACAGCATAGATGAAATGCCAATGACAAAAGTTGTTTTGTATTTGTATTGTTGCGTAAACTGCAGTTAGTAAAGCAATATTCAAAAATTTCAAAAAAAAAAAATTTATGCAACAATTATTAAAGTCTTAAAATATGAAATTTAATTTTTCCAAATAATACATTTGTGTAAAAAAGTCGGTTTCTACTTTTTCAGCCTCCACATACATTTTTGTCACACACGCAGAAAGCGTGTATACAAGCACAAGTGTCCACAATCGGAAGAGGAGGAAGCGTATGTTCCAGTACAAGGGTTCTCACAGTCAGAAGAGCAAGAAGCTTTTATAACAGCACAAGTGTCCTTTCAGTTGGAAAAGCAGGAAGCGTATATACCAGCACAAGTGTCCCCGCAGTCGGAAGAGAAGGAAGCGTGTGTACCAGTCAAGGGTTCTCCCAGTCAGAAGAGCAAAAAGCTTGTATACCAGTACAAGTGTCCTTACAGTTGGAAGAGCAGGAAGCGTGTACACCAGCGCAAGGGTTCTCACAATCGGGTGAGCACGAAGCGTGTATACCAGCACAGGTGGAAGATCAGGATAAAATTAAACCTAAAACGGATGAATCTTTGCAAGAAAGTCCAAATTAATGCATGAAGTGGAGTTCAACCAATGTACAACGGAGAAATAGATTTAGAAAGCTTAGTCGCAAAAGCAAATTGGGCAGAGCGGAGGAGTTAAAAGTTGGTGTGTGGCTGCTTGCATCGAGTATAAAAAAGCGAAAATGGGCAAACCTCCCGAGTATTTATAGTTGTTCCAAAGGTTAGAATTCCTGAAGTTCTTAACGTGCAATACATAGGTCCAAGAGGAGAGCACTTGAGAATCGCGAAAACCTTGGAGAAATTGAAGCAAAGGTCTTATTGGACTGGTTGTCGTCAATCAGCTTTGGAGAGGGTTGCGAAATATGCTGAGTGCATTGTAGCTGAAGGATCAAGGTCCAGGAGTCATGGCCAGATGAAACAGTACAATTTGGGTGCGCCAGTTGAGCAAATAAGCGTGGATGAAGATGGTCAATGTCACACCCATAAATTAAGAAAGAGTCATGTTTTGTTAGTCAAGGACCATTTCAACGAATGGCCAAAATTATACACAATTTCTAATCAAGAAGCTGAACCAGTGGCGGACGCATTCATCAACAAGTGGGACCGGAGATTCGGTGTTCCAATGGAGTTACATTCTGATCAAAAATGGAATCTCGAGTCAGCTTTAAGTCAAGGAACGTACCAGAAACTAGGTATCCGCAAAACGGATGGAATTAACTCCAAGAAGAGAAGGACGGCTACGGAAGTTAACACCAGGTTAGAAGACGAGATGGTAGACATAAAAGCTTTGTGTTTGGCTCCGCAAATATACCTAATCGGGACGATCAGACTTAGGTGGAGGGTAGTGTGATGAACACGGATGATAGAACAAAATCGAACCGACGATAAATTGCCAGAAGCAACTAGACAGCAAATTCGTACAGAATGTTCTAGCAGCGAACTTTTGTTAGAGATTTACTATAAAGGGCTGGCGGATTGTGCAGCAAAGACAGTTCTAGTTAGAGTGTTGTCGTGTTAAGAGCAACTGAGACATAAGGAAGAAGTGGTAAGCTCGATTAACGAGCAATAAGTGTTAAGTTGTTGGAATTAGAAATAAAGATAAGTGTATAGCCATTAAATTGGGATTTTTATTTAACAATCCAGTGATTTAACTCAAGAGTGAGTTACAAGGTAAACGATTTATCGAGAAATCCGTAACAGTATGTATTGCCAGAGGTATACACAATTCCTAATCAAGAGTCAGTGCTGCCAGATCGGCCGATTTTTCCGGATTTTTCGAGCTTGCAAAAGGTCTTGCGGATTTATATCCGGAATGTATGATTTACGCGTTTTTTCGGATTATGAACGTTTCATGTCTTCTTTATTTATATACTATGAATTCGGAAGAGAAAGCATATCGGTCTCTCTTTTAAAAAAGCGCAGATAGAAAAAAAAACATTTTCTGCTCGGTCGATCAAGAAAACTTAGCAGTTGGACTCTGATCTCTTTTCCTTTTACTTGCTCTCTTTTCTCCTATCATTCTCGCACTCTTTCGGTATAGCTGAATTCGATGATTAATTAACAGAAATTCGTAAAGTGCAAAACTGAAAAGCATTAGCTGGAATATTTTTGACAATGAATCAATATTTAGGAAGCAGTAAGTATCGTTATGTTTTATGCTAAGTATGTACTATAGTCGAACGGAAGACATGTTCAAAAAAGTAACTTCCTGCTATTTAAAAGAATATTATGTCGACAAAACCGATGAAAAGTTTACAGAATTTGACAAAATGACAAAAGATAATCAATTGAATTGGCGGCCTTGCGAGATGAGGATATTGAACCAAAAGTAACTGTAGAATTAAATCGTTTCCCAATTCAATATGACCAACCAAAAGAACGATTTCTGCCGTGAAAAATGCCGACAATTTTACATATATTTGCTTACAGAAATCAACAAGCGTTTCCCATTTGCTAAAAAATTTGTTCAGTTGCTGCCTACTACAAGTATTAATCAACAAGTGGATAACGAGATTCGGTGTTCCAATAGAATTACGTTCTGACCATAAAAGGAGTTTCGACTCAGCTTTAATTCAAGGGATGTACCAGAAACTAAGTATCCAGAAAACGGATGAAATAAACGAACATAAGAGAAGGACGGCTAAATAAGTCAACAGCATCCTAAAAGTCGAGAACAGAGACATAAATGATATGCGTTCCGTACCGCAAATGTTTCTAATCGGAACGATCAGACTTAGATTTAGGGCATTGTGGCGAGCACGGATGCGAGGACAAAATAGAATCGACAAAAGTTACGTATTTTCAGAATAAATAAGACAGCGACATTCGTAGTTGCCAGAATATTCGAGTGGCGATGTTTTCGTAATGATTTACTATATAGTGCTGCTTAGTAAAGAGCAGTAGTTAAGTTGTTGAATTAGAAATAAAGATAAATGTACGAGTATATTCAATTATTTAACAATTCAATGATCGAACTCAAGGTAGAATTTCAAAGTAGACGATTTATCGAGAAAACAGTTACAGTATAGTTGAAACAACCCAGAGCTAAACCCACGTGAACTATGAGACTGTTTATCGAGAAACCCGTTAGAGTATATTTGAAACAACCCAGAGCTAAAATAACGTAAATGTGATTATGTATGCGTTTTGATGTCGATGGATTCGGGTATTACAATCAGGGATACATAGGTTCCCACTTCTGGTTCATACATTTGTATTTCAATTGGACCTGATCTGCTTTTCGATAAGTGTTATAACGAGCGTAATAGGGCGGAGGCATGTCTCAATAGATTGCATAAATTGTTTGCTTCGTTATGATAATAGACTTTACAAAAAAAATATTTGTGTTTAAATACATTTAATAATTATTTATGTATTTAATTAAATTTTATTTACTAATAACTTAACGTTATATTTATAATTTACTTTAAAGCGCGTCTTCAGAGCCTTTCGAACTTACTGCAACTAATGTTGTACCATGTGATTTCATATGAGCACTTAAACCGGCATATTGAGCAAATCGTTTATCACAGATCTTGCACGCATATTTCTTTTCTGCAGCATGGATCTGTTTGTGTTGTCGCAGATGCTTGGTACTCGTAAAACCTTTATTACATATATTGCAAATTTTATCTCGCACATTTTGGTGCACTTTCATGTGTTCTCTATAAAAACCTTTACTGTAAAATCCTTTATTGCATATTTCACATCTGTGGGTTGGTTTATTCTCATGCCTTCGCATGTGCATATTAATTTTTGATGTAGTACGAAAATTTTTGCCGCAAACATCGCAAACGTATGGCTTCTCGCCGGTGTGTGAGCGCATATGAATTTTTATTTCTGTGGTCGTTGCGCACGGCTTGCTACACACCTCACACTTATATAAGTAGTCGTGTACATGTCTTCGCAAATGTACGGATAAATTTGTGGTCAACTTAAAACCATGACCACATACATGGCATTTAAATGGAAGCGAACCATCATGAGATGCGACATGCACTTTGTACTGACATACGCCTGTAATTATTTTTCCACATATCGAACATTCATAAGGAGTTACATCTACTTCGAGATATGAAATGTGTTCATAAAATTTGCAACTTTGCCTATAGTTTTTATTTTGTTGTTTGCATAATATTTTTAGTCTCTTTTCGTGAGAGCATATTTTTCGAAGTCGTGAAATTTCACATCCGATATCGTAGCGGGTTAGACTTAAACCTGATTTTTTATTGAATTTGTCGTGAACAGCTTTTACAGCTTCTCGTCGTCTATTACCGAATCTATACGCTATATCTGTTTCATCCCAAAGACAAGAATACTGTTTGTATATTTCCGCTAAGAGAATGCTTTGAGCATCATTTAAAACACTTCCGGTCATTATCATTTGAGCTGTTGTTGTTGCAGAAGGAACAATTGGTTTAATCTCAGTTTTGTATTTGACCTGTAAATAAAAGGAATGTATAGCTTTAAACATACGCCGTTAAATTTTTTGTCTCATACTTGTATGTCCTTATATGTATGCATGTGTAGATACATACTTGTTACAAGTGATTAAATCGCTGACAAACTTGACCAAATGCATCTTTTTTAAAACAACATATTTTTTCATGGTTAACAGTTACACTTAAATATCGCTTTAACCTATTTTAGTGACCTGAATATGAGTATTGCGTAATTATATATAAAATCCCAATAGAGGAGTTCTCTTACTCTTGCAAGATTGCATGAAATGCAAAAATCGATTAAAAATATCTCCTTTGTGAGAACACCTAATTGCAGAAATAGAAATATCAGCGAAATATATGTATATGTATGTAATATGACAGCTAGCACAGGTTGCAAATATTTTGCTAGCCTCATTGCATGAAAATTAACCGGGGTTTTGGGTTTTGGCCTAATTTGCAGATTGTATTTTGTTGTTGTGCCGCTGCACGGATTGGAAAACCTTGCAATCCGTGCACATTTTAAGGGTTTTGCAAGAGCAAGAGAAACCTCCTATTGTGTTTCGAAATAATGTATAGGTATTGTTTATTAAATTTATTCATACAAAATTTGTATAGCTTATTATGACGAAAAAAACAAGTATAAGTAAAATCTAATTCTTTAATAAGCACATACTATAGGTAAAGAAATAAACCTAAATTCTGGACTCTTACAATAAATTTATTTATTAATAACATTATTCCTGGTCTTCTTGTGCCAAATCAACGCTTTTAGAACTAATCTCAATTAATGTTGTACCATGTGACTTCACATGTCCACTAAGTCCAGCATATTGTGCAAACCGTTTACCACACATTTTACATGCATATTTTTTTTCGGAAGAATGGATTAGCATGTGTTGACGCAGATGTTTATTACTGGTAAATCCTTTTTCACATATACTGCACAATTTGTCTCGTACTTCTGAATGCACATGCATATGTTCTGTCATCAAAGATCTCATATAGAATGTTTTATTACAAATTTCACATTTATGCAGGGGCTTTTTATCGTGACGTAATTTATGTGGTCTCAATTCAGCTAATGATCGATATTTTTTGCCACAAATTTCACAAACATATGGTTTTTCCCCAGTATGGCAGCGCATGTGAGTTCTCAATTCAGTTGTTGTTGCACAGGGTTTGTCGCACACTTCACACTTATACAAGTAGTCTTGAGCATGCCGACGTAAATGTACCGTTAAATTGGTAACTAATTTAAAACCATGCCCACAGATGTGACACTTAAATGGCAAAGAACCATCATGAGAAGCCAAATGCACCTTGTATTGTTGTGTGCCACTTAATAGCTTTTCACATATTGGACATTCGTAAGGCGAAACGTCAGTCTCGAGAAAGGCGATGTGATTGTAAAATGTGCACGAGGGCTTATAAATCTTATTTTGTCGTTTACATACAAATTTTTGTCTTTTCTCATTACAAGTAAGCTTTCGAAGTCTTGTAATTTCGCATTCCATATCATATTTTGTGAGGCTTAATCCAGTTTGCTTATTAAACTTTTCAAGTAGCGTTTGTAAAGCATCTCGCCTTCTATTACTGAATCTGTATGTTATTTCTGTTTCATCCCAAAGAGTGGGCAGACTGTTATAAATTTTAGCTAAAACTATAGTTTGTTCATCGTCTAAAATGGTTTCTGGAGTTGTGAATTTCCTCAGTAACGGTTTTGGTTTTACCTGTAATAAAATAGTGAATGATTTTGCTTTAGAAATCTAGTTACGAAAAACAAAAGTAGCTTTTTGTGAACTAAAACTCACATTTTATTAAGAATTAATCAACTGTATGGCATAATGAACAGGTGAAGTAAATGGGCAGCTTTCCTTTTTCTATCTGCGGATAATTTCATTAACATATATGCGTTGTCACATAATAATAATGTTGGCCACTGAAATTGGATTGCAACAATTTGTCGACCCGAAGCTGCCTAATACGTTTAATAATTGTTATTCCGTTCCCACGACAGTTAGGTCTAAGCAACTGGAACGGACCCGGATTTTTATCCGGCCAAGGACTGTCAACTCGGCACCATTCCTCGAAATTACTTCAGGAATGTTTTCTGCCGCTACAACAGCAACAACAATAATTGTTAATATTAAGGGTTAAGGTTTTTATATGGGTTTCTCATTGTCCTAGACAACAAGGTACGATAAATCTTTGTTCTAAAGAATAGAACTATAGCAGTTTGGATAACCTTCCTGGTAAACTTTCTGTAGATATAATCACTTAATTACAACCAGCTCTTAACGTTTTGCATAATTATTTCACTAAATGGAAAATTCTTGTAAATCCGCAGAAAGCATAAGCAATTTTTTTCAGTAGAAAACGCAGAGCTTGTTTCTTGCTCCAGAGCTGTGTTGCTCTAAGCAATGTTACTGTTCCTTGGAATGAAAAAGTAAAATATCTCAGCGTTATTCTTGATACAAAATTTATTCATAAACAACACGTTTTGTATATTATTAACAAAATAAATATTTTAATTAAAACCCTGTACCCTCAACTCAAATTTTCTATGGAGCACCAGTCTGGGCCAATATAGCAAATTGTCACTTAAGAAAATTGCAAGTGATGATACTTAACCTCCCCTGGCTCAATTTCAATATGCAGGAGCTTTTTTAATAACAAGTTTGTATTGCAGCTATAGTGGCGGTTCCGATAAATGAGCAGCTTATTGGGAAAAATAAGACGTGTCCACAATTTCGGATCGATATCTTATATACAGACATTGACTCAAAACCGGGCTTATGGAAGGAGATAACGACAGCTCATAACAAAATTTATTCAAAACAAGTAGGGAAGGGCTAATTTCGGATGTAACCGAACATTTTATACTCTCACAAAGTCAAATGGTATACTCGTTTGAGATTTCTTTGTGGATTGGCTGATATTTTCGGTAGAAGGTCAACTATAGGCACTGGGGTCCACATATTTAGTACTTAGGGGCTTGAACAGTTTTGGTTCGATTTAGACAATTTTTGGTCACAAGGTGGCATACTGTATGGTATTATTCACGCAAAGTTTTACCCCGATAAAATCATTGTTGCTTGATATGCATAGTGGAAATTGAAAGAATCAGATGGAATTGAAAATGGTGTTATATGGGAAATAGGCGTGGTTGTAGTCCGATTTCGCCCATTTTCGCACTATAACATAGAAATATGAAAATAGCGTTATGTACCGAATTTTGTTGAAATTGGTTAAGCAGATCTCGAGATATGGGTTTTCACCTAAAAGTGTGCTGTGCCACGCCCACTGTCCAATTTTGAACGCGGTTCCTATAAAATTATCTCATACCATCCCGGAGATAAAATTTAATGTCTCTGGCGTATTTAGTGCTTGATTTATCGCGCTTTTAGTAGTTTTTAACAGTACCGTTATATGGGGAGTGGGCGGAGTTGCCACCCGATCTCAACTTTTTTCACACTGTAGGTAGATGTTCTAAAAACATTTGCTTCCAGTGAATTTTGTTATTATAGCATTACTAGTTTAGGAGATATGCACATTAAACCTATTATAGGCGGGACCACGCCCACTTTAAAAAAAAAAGTTTAACTGCAGATGCCCCTCCCTAATGTGATCCTGTGTACCAAATAACAGTCTTGTATCTTATTGCGGAGCTTAGTTATAGCAATTTATTTGTTTTTGATTAATGCCGTTTTGTGGGCGTGGCAGTGGTCCGATTACGCCCATCTGCAATACCAACCGTCTCACGGTACCAAGAAACATGTCTACCAAGTTTCATAAAGATATCTCAATTTTTACTCAAGTTACAGCTTGCACGGACGGACAGACGGACGGACGGACAGACAGTCACCCGGGATTCAACTCGTCTCTTCATCCTGATCATTTATATATATATTATATAACCCTATATCTAACTCGATTAGTTTTAGGTGATACAAACAACCGTTAGGTGAACAAAACTATTATACTCTGTAGCAACAGGTTGCGAGAGTATAAAAATGCTACATCAGTTCGACATTTATTCGATTCGTCATTCGATAGTCTATACCTTAAAAAATATTATTATAAATTAACATTTCAAATATTTTTGGTGCTACAGCCACCTGAGCCGCTCAGCTATTAGAAACTTATCTTTGTTATTAAGGTAGTAGTTGTTGTTGTTGTTGTAACGGTTACCTTGTCCCCGTTTGGGTGATAAATTCCAGATTCGTTGTCGTCGAGGTCATCTAACGGGAAACGAGCTGTTTCGACGGGGTCGGACCATAGGGAGAAGGGTGTTAGATGAGTGGGGTTTGTTGGGCATGCAAAGAGGTGGTTGGTGTCATGCGGAGACTCCTTGCACTCAGGACATGTGTTTGGTATGTCGGGGTCTATTCTGGATAAGTAGGAGTTTACTCTGCTACAGTATCCAGAACGAAGTTGCGCGAGGGTCACTCTGGTTTAGCGAGGCAACTCGAGCTCTACGTCTGCTATGGGTGGTGGTTTGACTCGTAATACGCCATTCACTGAGAGGGAGTCGGTGAAGGTGTTGATGGCTCCACTGTGAATGGCGGTCAGTGCCTGTCTGAAGTTCGTAGCGTCCGAAGTCCGGTCGGCGTACTGTCTAATGTCGTCGACGTAATCAGGGAAAGACCTCTTGGTGTTCCTAGGAGGCGGCTCCACTACAAGCAGGCGACTACAGGGGTGGTTTCTATGAAAACACCCCAGCAGAAACTGCTTGGAGAGGAGTTCGTTGTGTTCCTTAACCGGAAGCTTACGGGCCTTACTATGTAGGTGTTCGATTGAAGACATCAAGAGGCATCCCGTGATAGTCCGAAGTGCAGTGTTCTGACAGGTCTGAAGCTTCTTCTTCTGCGTGTCACTGCATCCAGGCCACCATATTGGGGCTGCATAATTTAGGACCGGCCGACCGATTGCCTTGTATGTTGCCAGCAACGTTTCTTTGTCTTTTCCCCAAGAGCTGCCGGCAAGCGACTTGAGGATTTTGTTGCGGCTCTGTACTTTGGCAGTTATCGCGGTCGAGTGAGGAGTGAAAGAGCACAGACTGTCCAATGTGACGCCTAAAATTTTAGGATTATTAACTGTCGGAATTTTTATGTCATCGACTGAAATGTTCAGGTCCAGTCTGTACTCCTTCGTCCAGTTTGTGAATATGGTCGCTGTAGATTTAGTGGGGGAGAGTGTTAAGCTGCTTGCAGAGAAGAAGCGAGAAAGATCGCAGAGGTAGCTGTTTACTTTTGAACACATGCCATCGATTCCATTGCCTGACGTCAATATCGTACAGTCATCAGCTTACGAGGTCACTGAAATTCCCGCTGGTAGCTGGGGGAGTTTCGAAATATAGAAATTAAACAGTATTGGGGAGAGGACACCGCCCTGCGGAACCCCCTGTTTAATTTTCCTAAGTTTGGAGTTTTGACCTCGAAACAGTACGGATGAATGCCGACTGCTCAAGTAGTCATAGTCATAGTCCACCGCTTCAGCCCTGGAGGGAGCGTTGATTGTTCTAGGTCCTCAAGTAGCGTTGTGTGATTGAATGTGTCAAAAGCTTTTGACAAGTCCAACGCTACGAGGATCGTCCTCTCGCAGGGTGGCTTCTGGTTCAGGCCATGAACTATCTGGCCGTTTATGACGCTAAGTGCTGTGATGGTACTGTGCACTTTTCGGAAGCCATGCTGATGATCTGATAGGCTTAGGTGGTGAGTGAATGACGGGAGTAACAAGGCCTCAAGTGTCTTCACTACTGGGGAAAGGAGAGTTATCGGGCGATAAGACTCCCCTTTGTTGGCGGGTTTCCCAGGTTTCAGTAGTGGGACCACTCTTCCTACTTTCCACACATCGGGTATTTGAAGAAGTGGATATCGACAAGTTGAGGTGAGATTGTTTACTCCCGTTGGGCCTAAGTGTTTTAGCATTAGCATCCTTATTTCGTCAGGGCCAATGGATTTAGACGAGACGTGCGCAGTCTTTTGGCATTTTGCGCAGCCGTCGGGTAACACATCGTTTGGCCTTGTCGGTCGAAGGGTGCAGTGTAAACTGCCGGCTAAAATAGCTCGCGCACTTCTTCGGGTCCGAGGAGGCATGGTCATAGAATTGAATTTCAACTCAATCGTCATGTCTCCTAGGGTTAGACAAGGCCTTGACAGTAATCCAAAGCTTACTCACACCGGTGGGGAGATTACAGGACTTCAGGTGCTCCACCCATTTTGTCCGCTAATGTTGGTTTACCAATTGCCGAATCTCCAAATTGAGATCCCTTGCGGAATTGACGCTCGCCAACGATGACGTCCGTAGGAATGGGTAGTGCGTTGAAGGTGCTCTGAGTAAATTCTGTGAAGCCGACCCAGTTAGCTTTGTTAAAGTTAATGAAGGTGCGGTTGTCCACAGAAATAAAGTTGGGAGGTTTCTCGATCGAGATAATTATGGGCAGATGGTCGGATGCGAGAGTTAGCATAGGTCGCCAGGTTATGCTATTTATCAGACCACCGCTAGCGATGGTAATATCAGGCGAGCTATTACAGGTGCCCATAATTCTGGTGGGGGCTTCGTCATTCATTGTGCAGAATGTCGAATCGTCAATCCGTTCCGCCAGCTCCATCCCCCTACGATCATTTGACAGGCAGGAATGCCAAAGATCTTGATGCGCGTTGGTCAGACTGGGAGTCATGCTGTCTGTGTGAGCTCCTTAAGGCCTATCTTGGCCACTCGACTGGAGTGGCAGCGCAGTGCACGAACACGTAACTCGTGGTCCACTCCCTATGTGTCTTAAGGCCTGAACAGGTCTTAAGATGGCTCCATCCATTGCATATATTGCATCTAACCGAGGTGGAGTTTGGATGGAGCCTTTTAGCGCAAACGCAACAGTAGAATTCCTCGGGGCCCGGGTTGGACTCGATGCCAGCACGGGTCAGGAGGATACGGAGCAACCCTACTGCTAGGCGTTGCTCCAATGACGACAAACTAAATCTAGAACTTACCGATCCAAACAGGGTTAGATCGCCGAAATAACAGCCCTTGGCCGGAATAAATCCGGGTCAATTCCGGTATCGCAGAACCGGCTGTTGTGGGAATTGTAGTAGTCTGGTAACTTGGTTAGCTGCAAACGACACGACCAGTTTTTAAACGCGTTTTTCTCGAAATAACGTTTTACGGTCGGCCCGGATGATAAATATATTTCTATCCAACCGATTGGGCTGAAATTTAAATATGTTATTATACTCATCAATAGCTCTTGTAGGAACTAAGATCTTTTTTTATCACTAACTTTCCATTTTACAGCCCGATTTCTACTTAAAAACGTTTCACTTTTTTCGAAGTCAACCATTTTTTATTTTTCAACGAAATTGTTTAATCCTAGTTCCAACCAGAATGACAAGCTCACAGAATAATAGTTTTTTTGATTTTTCTATTTCAGATGTCCTCGTGCGACCAAATCACCGGGGCCAGCAACCTTATTTTGTTTTTTTTAGACGCTCACTTCAGTGCTACGAAACAACAAATTTCAAAAAACAAAAAAGACAAAAATATTTTTTTTGTACACTGAGACAATATAAATAATAGCATTAAAAATGCAAGTTACCAGCTACTTAACAAACAGGTTTTTCTCAAAACTGAATTTGTATATTGGCTGCAAAAAGTTGCTTTTATTTTGTTCTGCTTATTTTATATATGTTTCTTTGGGCATAGATCTTCCATTTTTGTAATTGTATAAAAATGTAATTTTGGCCGAACAGAAATCATATCAGAAACGAACAGCATTTGACATATTTTTTAAGTCTGCAATTTTATGAAATTAATTTTTTGTAACAATCGTGGGTCATATTAAAGGCAATACTACAAGACTATTCATCTTTTTTATTGTTTTGTTTTTAACCACGCTGAAGGCTACAATCACTCAGTAATTGAAGCATGAATTTGACCTCAAATTTAAAAATATTTCATGCAGTAGTTTAAAAGAAATCCCAAAAATTATATTTTTTAGGTAGTCACACTAGATATTTTACTTAAACTCTAAAAGTTTTAAACCAAGTGTTTGGCCATTAAAACCTTGTATGAATACGGCCTGGCAATTCATACCAACAAGTAAAGTTTACCAATATTTGTTTTATGAAAGAGAATAATAATAATTTGTGGTTAAGAGAGATTAGAACAAAATATTACTTCAAAATCTTCGGGAGATAAGATAAAGAGATAAACATTTTTTATAGCATAGATGCGTGGCTTTAAAACAAATAACCTTGAAACATAATATCTTTACTATATCGTCATTTATTGAAATCAGACTTCATTCAAACACACTTGCAGTCATTCAAACGGATTACTTTTTCTATTTACTTTATTATTTTTTAAACTAAGTTACTTATATGTATTATATTCTTTTTTTTTTAAACTTACCTCAGCTTTTTTTCGTTTTGGTTTTATAAACGTAGTTAGATCGTTATACCAAGCAGGTGTATATATTTTGCCTTTAGAAAGATAAATTTTTTTCCGTACCAATTCAGTTCGAAGTCTACTGCTTAATTTTCCAATCATTTTACGAATGGACTCCCATTCGGTTGGAATTCCCACTTCCTCAGCAATATTTTTAATTTCCTTCTCTCTTCTCCTATTATCTCTGGGTAATTGCGCATCGTTATCCCACAATGTAGGCCGTTTTTCATAGCCTTTAAATATTGCGAGTATTTTATTTTTATTAAAGGATTCGTTTAAACCAAGTTCCTGTTAAATTAATAATAACTTTTCATATAATATAAGGAAATACATACAAATTATTAAACCTCTATATAAGCAGCAATCTCAGAGTCTTCTGCATTAGCTCCTTTATAACTATCCGTTTTTTGTGTATAATTTTTCTGTACCAGAAAAAAGAAAATTATATAATATTAATAATTTATCATAACATATAAAGATTTAAACATTACTAAAACCTTTATATAAGCAGCAATCTCAGAGTTCTCTACATCATCTGCATTATCAATATCATTTTTTTCTGTATCATTTTCCTGTATTAAAAAAGGGAAAAATATCTCTACAACATGCACTCACTTTATATATATTTAAAGCTTACGCTAATACTATCTTCAGCCTCAGCATCTTCGCTCACGTATCCATCCATTAGGGGCAACTCTTTAAAATCCATCGAATTTTTCATTTGGTTGTCGTCCAACTCTATTTCCACTTTTTCAAAGTCGTGTAAATTCGATTTACTGTCATTGCTGTTCTGTAAGGCTTTATGTGTTAAATTTTTTCAATATGAATTAACAACAACAATTGTTGTTTGATTGATTATTAAATTTCAAAACATCACCTCATTTGAATATGCCGTCGCGAAATGTTCATCACAATCGTCCATATCTTCCTGTAATTAAAAATTAAAGTGAGGTATATAATGAAGAACTGTTGATTGATTCTTTTTCTAAACATCACCTCATTTGAATCAGCCGTCGGGTAATGTTCATCACCATCGTCCATATCTTCCTGTAATTAAAAATTAAAGTGAGGTATATAATGGAGAACTGCTGATTAATTCTATTTCCAAACATCACCTCATTTGAAACTGTCGTCGGAAACGGTGCATCATGATGAATATCTTGTTGCAATTCAAAGGAATAATCAACTTCATCCTCTACTTTAGGGTTCGTAAAGTGACACATATGATCCTCACAAATGTGTTGAATGAAATCTCCTAATTGAAGAAAAGTGTAATCGCAAAAGCTACAATTTAGGAAAAATTCTTTTTGGCCAATTGACATCTGAGTAGTAATTTCTCCACATTTCTTTAAATCAGCACATTCAATTTTATGCTTTTCCATAATTAATATTTTACTGCTACCGAGGAATTCTATATTGATACTTAAAAGCTTCAAAGTAATCAATCTGAGAAGACAGTAAACAAATTTGACCACCAACAATTTAAGTGATGTCACTAATAATACTCGATATTATGTTCGAAAAATAATTTGCGAAGTGTGGCCACAAAGATGCAAAAGCAGATAAACTTGAAAATTTTACAAAAAGAAACATTTAAAAAAAAGTAATATCAGAGAATGTAAGTGTAATTAATTTTGTTTTTGCGCTTCAGTTAAGAAGTAAAGTATTTCTTTCTATTTACAAAAGTTGAAAAACAGAAAAAAAGTTCGATGTATGCTTTTCTATTAGTTGGTTCACATAGAGAAGAAACAAAATAAAGCGCTTGAAAACGTTGGGCAACTCTCATCTTTTTACACTTTGCCAAGCGATATCCGATTTAGGGACTCAAATGCGGAAATACTTCGCCCATTTATTATCTGTTGTTGTTGTAACGGTTATCTAATCCCCGCTTGGGTGGTAAGGTTCAAGCTGATTGTCATCGAAGTCATCTAACGGTACGCCCAGAAAACGAGCTGTTTCGAAGGGGGAGGTAGAAAGGTGTTAGATGAGTGTGGTTCGTTGGGAATGCAAAGAGGTGGTTAGTATATGCGGCGACTCGTTGCATGCTGAACATATATTTGGTATGTCATCAGGAGGATGCAAAGCATCAATCTTAATCTAAAACTCACCGATTCAAGCAGAGTTAAATCGCCGAAATAACAGCCCTTGGTCGGATAAAATCCAGATGTCCGTGTATCTCATTAAAAAACCTTGTTTTATAATACAGATGTCTCGGGTAGTTTCTTATACGAACTATTGTAGTATTGTTATGGCTGATTCATATACAACTTTCGCTTCCCTTTGTTTCAGACATTTCCTTTGAATGAAAAGTTCAATATGGTTTTATATGAGCACGTTCACATCGAAGCGAAACGCAGCAAGGCAAGGTATAACGTTTGGCAACTCTCATATTTTTACGTTTTGCCAAGCAACAGTTGCAATTTTTATTAACGAGTACCACGAAAAGCAAAGCGTTCATTATGTTTTTGTTGTTGTTCTTGTAGCGGCAGAATTCTGCTGAGTTGACAGTCCTTGGCTGGATAAAAATCCGGGACCGTTCCGTTTACGTTCATTCTGCCATATCCTTTGCTTTCTTCGCTATGTTGTTTAAGTATGAATTGTCAAACAAAGCGAGAAAACTTGTATGTTAGTTATCTTGACTTTCAGAAGAAAGGACTTAATTCTAAATAGCTCTATGAGAATTTGATTGCATGAAATGGTCGAACGGTCATTCTGCACAGGCATTTTCGAACTTCTACGATTTGCAATGCACTTGAAGTCAATTGTGTTAGCTTCCGTTTCCTCTTTTCACAAGCTTTTCGTTCGTTAACTATTTGTTATATTGTTAACTATTTTTAATTTTTTTATGTATTATATAATATTTTTTAAAACCCTGAACAGGGTATACATATTAAGTTACTCGCGACGTAGGTAACACACACAGAAGAAAACGCGGAGGATAGATAAAATATATATATAAATGATCAGCATGACGAACTGAGTCGGTTTAGTCTTGTTCGTTTGTCCGTCTGTCTGTATATACGTAAATTAGACCCACTTCGGACCACTCTAGCATACGAGTATACTGTCATACAAACTGAACGATCAAAATCAAGTTTTTGTATTGAAAATTTTTTATTTGGCAAAGTATCTTCTATGTCTTGTATGGATACTTTTTTTTATTTGTAAAGGGCAATCACGTTTTCTTTTTTTGTTTTTTTAGTACTGTTTAATTTTTTTTATCATTAAGAAGTAAACAATTTTATGCAAAACGAGCGAGTATTCAATAATTTTGTCGTTCAATTGCTATATAATATGTCTTGGGTTACATGGGCTTCGTCGGATAAAAAAATACCTATTTTCAATAATTTTTTTTCTATATAAAAAATTATTTATTTATTTCAAACTTTTTTCTGTCTTAAAGATACACATTTAGAGAATAATTTCTGAGATTTTCAAAAAAAATAAATAAATAAAACTCCGCCATTGTAACGTCATTTCCGGCGACCCCTCGAAAAAAAGGTGCGCCCCCGATATGTCAGCATAACTCCTGACAGAATCATTTAAAATGAAAAAAAATTTTAGTTCAGGCCATAAACTCGTACTTGAACGAAGGAAAAAAGAAAAAAGTTAAAATTGGAATTTTGGCAGACCCTTTTCCAAAAAAATTAAAATTTCGTTCAAATTTGCTCGACATTTCTTCTTTGTTAAATAGTTGTAATTGAAAAAAACATCCTTCGTCCAAATACGAGTAAATTGTATCTCAAACACCTATATAAAATTTCATCAAGATCGGTTGAGTAGTTCGCGAGAAATCTAAACAACCGACTTTAAAAACACAGTTTCGAGAAAAACGCGTTTAAAGTTTTTAGTGACCATATAGCTGACCTCGAGCTCGCAACTTTTCAAATCTTTATCTCTTAAATTATTACTGATCTCAACTTGAGAATTTGAGGCAATATTCTAGAGATGTTATAGAATTAAAAAAAAAACAATACAATGTTTTTTTTGAAGCTGCGAGACCCATGGTGCCCCTTAAGGGCAAGTCTACGAATGCAACTAATAACGTTAAGTTTTTTATTTCGTTAGACATTTTTTATTTTTGTGAGTTTTTAAAGGTTCAACAATATACTTAGTTCGAACATTTACATATATAATACAATTTTAAGTTCAATACAAAAGATAAAGTTTTTAAATGGGCGGATAGTTTGTGTTAAATTTTTTATTCGATGTTAGTAATTATGGCTAATTTGGTAAAAAAAAATAAATAATACGTAAAACTTAAATAAAACTCCGTTGGCAAACAATATTATTAAACATATTATAATTACGAAACAGACACACAATAGCAGATTTTCTGCAGATATCTTCGATTATTCACTAAATAATAGAGAAATGATAAAAAAAAGGCAAGTGCAAACAGAAATAGTAAGAGGTTGATCGACTTGTTTATTTCGATAATTCAAGGCGTTTTATTCTCCTTATTAGTAGCTGTAGATCCGGCACAGATCGATGAGCGAGAACTTAATCGCGTGCTCTGAAACAACATAATATATAATTACTAGTTCTACGATTTTTAATTACCAGAATTTACCAATCGAGATGTTGTCTGTTTTGAAACATTCGGTTGTTTCACCATCGACTGTCTACCTTTTACTACTGGTACGGACATCCCGCCTAAACTATTTCGCGATCGCACCGGTGACTTGGCCTTCGTCAACTCAGGTAAAGCCCGTTTCTTGACTCCCGAAGTATTTGCAAGTGGCTGCTGTAATTTTGACGGTGTAGAGATTGAGAAACGAGGGTTTTTCTTTATTATCGTGCCATTGGGTCTTTTAGCAATACTGGAAACTGCTGGCGTTGAGCATGCGTTAGGAAAACCTGAAATCTGTTCACCACTTCGGGTTGGTGGCATTGGTGTGCTCGTATTGGATAATTTTCCCGCCGTGGTAAGTAAATTCATTGAAGTTTCCATGTTAGTGGTTTGTGAGGGTATACGTGAATTTACATTAGGTCGTTCTGGGGTAGCAATTGTAGCTGTAAGCATAGGTGCTACTTTCTTAATGGGCATTATCGCTTTAAGTGGACCCTTGGATGCCATAATCGAAGTTTTCGCAGAATGAGTTTTGGTCCTTTTCTTTAAATCAGGTTTGAAAACATTCAAATTGGTTCGTGAAATAGGATGCATAACGGCATGTTGTTGAGATTCATGCTTTTGTAATTTAGAAGGACCGAGTGAGTAACGCGACTGGATTGTTGAAGTGCTACCAAAAAACAAAAATAATACATTTTAACATACATATATGTATATAAATATATTTTAAGATTCTACTTTTGTAAACGTCGAGAATTTGTCGCACCGGTTCCGTGATTTAATGAGCTGAGAGGTGTATATGGTGTACCACTGGAAAACGAATTCCGCCGTTGTGTAGAACGTATTGGCGTTTTCATTTCTATTGTAGTGGTATTTATTTGAGATTGCCCCTCAATAACAGGAGACTGTAATTCAGCTGTAATATATGGGGTTGCTTGCGACCGTATTGGCAATTGTACAAATTTAACTTTGTCATGTATTGATAAAGATTGCGCACGCCTACGTGGTATAATATTAATATCCATATCATCAAATGCATCATTACAATTGGAGGTATCTTGGGTATTAGATGGTTGTAATGAATTTGTGGGCATAACAACAATAAATGTGGGGTTACACATTGTGGATTGCTGTAATGGGTTGTTTTCTGATGAATTATTACGCTTCGTACCATTAGATGTTTGGTTAGCAATTTGGTGTTGTTCAAGTAGTTTGCCTATTTGTTCGATGATATCATTCACATCTGGATTTCTTGCGGCAGTGTTCTGTATGGATGGTTTAAAGTTTGGCGATGTTATTGGTGAAAGAGCGTCGACATGCGGTAAGAGTAGATTCTCCCTTTCCGCTACTGGTTCGCCATCAAATGTACCAGAGGATTTTAACATTACTTCTGGCATTTCTTTTGTAGGTGGCGAAGATTGAGTAGACTGAATGGAATGTGTCATTTGTGAATGTTCACCATTTGATGCTGAAGTTCCACTAGTTTTGTCACAACCATTGTCGGCTTTCGTCTTTAAAAACAAAATACATAGTTTATCAATTATAATATATATATCCCTATTCAGATTCTTATACCTCTAATTCTAAATCAAAAGTTCCCTGTCGCACAATAGTTTGAGGCCCTTGCATTAATGGTTCACTATCATCTACATTTTTCGTTAGCTCATCGTTAGTATCTCCAAATTTCTCAGTATTTAAGGCTGTACTCAGTTTTTTTAACAAAAAATTTGCTTTCTCTTTTTTATCATCATTCACAATTTCATTCTCGCATAACAAAGATTTTAAGTTATCTATTAAAGACACAACATCTTGGCCCTTACAAGCCTCCATTCGCTTTGCTCGTAATTTTTCTCGTATCGCCGATAAATCCGAAAGTGTCACATTTTGCGGCGCAGGAGTTGCATCTTCTGCTTCCTTTGTCAATAACGAAGTCTCTTCAGGAACTGGTGAAGGCAATTTCCTCAACATGGGAATGCTCAACATTTCTAGATCGGCCTCAAAATCATTTTCGGCCTCTGATAATTTTGGTGGTTCTTCCGTGAGGAGATTATCATCCACTAATTTCAAAGGCGACTCCGTCGCAAGCATATAATCACTGAAGTGCGCAGCAGCAGAAAATACTGTTGAAAATCCACTATCTGCCTGTCGAGATCGACAACTCAATGGTGAATTAAATGTTGAATTTGCTATGCTTAATTTAAGTAGACGTTTCCTATTTTCTATTGCTTTTCGTATTTTAGCCGAATAGCCATCAGTACTATTTGCGGAACTTTCATCGCTTTCTATCGCTGAGCTACAAGTATCTGGCGTAGATTTAATGGACATAGAAATTGGTGGGCTCTCACTATCTAACTCGCGAACTATAGCAGAATGATAAATTGATAAACTGCAGTTTGAAGCAATGGACATGATATTTTTAATATCACTGTTATCCAAAGTAGGTGTGTCTTTAACATCCCATGTACCATCATCACCTAGTATATTGTCATCGCTAAGTGATAAAAGCTTTCCTACTTTAACTTCATTTTGGGGTTGCATGGAATAGCGTGCCTATGAAAAAATTAATTGGTTACAAGTTTTTAATGTAACTATATTTTCCCAACCTTTACACAAGCCTCTTTTTCCACTATATCAAAAGGATCTTCAGGGCGAGTTGATAATTTTTGCGCCAAGTCAAAAGGGTTGTTGTCAAGACTTTCACGTCCTTCTCCCTTTTCAACAATTAGAAACTCTGGTAATGTACACTCCATAATTGATGGTTCGGAATTGGACAAATTATTTGGCGATGCATTACTTTGATGCAACGCTTGTATTTGTTTATCTCCATCCTCAATGCTGAGATCGATTAGGTTCGCAATTTCAATACGGTTCATTTGTTTAAATATCCAATTTTATTCTATTTTTTTATAACAAAATAACTTTAATAAACAATTTTTCAGCGAAACTTCACAGTTTATTTATCCTTCCAAAATGGTAGCTGATTTCCTTTTAAACTTAACTGTTCGACCTGTCAATTTTGTTCCTTTGAACCAGGTAAAATTACTCTGAAATCAGAGAACGTATATAATATACGTTCTCAGCTGAAATTACCTGGCTGACGGTGCTACCAAATTAAAATATTTTAATTTACACACAATTTCTTAAGAACATATGTCGCGATAATTCGATAGCAATTGTACGCAATTATCTGTAGCCATGTTCGAAAGGACTGCCGCAGAAAATCAACATATAACAATATTTATTGGGATATTTCGATTTTAACGAAATTAAGAAATAAATGGGTTGTTTAATGCGAAATTTTATATGCATGTTAAAAATGAAAACTGTTTAATAATGTTCAATAGACTTCAAACAAATTTTAAAAATTGTCAACATGAACCCTTAAAAAAGTAAACAATTTTCATTATTATTTTAGTAATAATAAATGTAATACAACGAATGAACACTTAGCACCGAAAGGTAAGCAATTAAAAGGAATTTTGTTGTATTTTCGTTTGATTGACAAATAAAAATTCTTGAGTGTGAAGTTAAATATTTTATGTACATATTTGATTCTTTCCAATTTATATTTTAGTAGAATCACAACATATATTTAGAAAAAGGATAATAATAACGATAAAATATTGAAGGACAACGCATGGATTATTATATTTACGATCCAAAAACGGTAGGTTATACCCCGATCAGTCATAAAAAAAATTAAGTTGATTTAATTTCTCTCTGTATTATTAGGACGATTTTACCAACAAGTCGGTTATAATGACACGAAGCATTAATAGCAAAGCATTATTAGCACAGGCAAGTGTACAAAAATTAAGTACATACATATATATTTCATTATTGTTTGCACTTTTAATAGAATTCAAAGCAACGAATTCCGGTGAAGAATATTCGATATTTTTTGTGGCCTTTTGTCTTCGGGGTAAATCTGTACGATTTCCTGGGTCTATGTCATCTTGTTCCAACACATAGTCTTCATCTATCACGTCCGTATTTGATGAGCACCTCACCTTTTCAGGTTTTCCATAAAAAGCAGTCACACGAATATGACTTACCAATGATTTCGAACTGATAGAGAATACGATTTTACTTATAAATTAATATTTTAGCTAATTTATGTTTGTGGCGCAAATTGTTATTTGTTGTGATATAGAATATAATGCTAATTTCAGTGTACCAGATGTAATAAATATAAAAAATATTTCCCCTTAATTCGCTCTATTAATGCAATATATACATATTTACATGTATACTAGTAACATACATATCTTACACGTAGTATTATATTAATATTAATAAGAAAAGATTGTCAGTCATCACTATTAGCATTTCTTTTTTTTATATCTTCAGTGTTACTAGTCAAACTTGGTAGCCTGGTTTCACCATCATTTAATACTTGTCTCACATTAATGTTGATGCGTGCATAATTAAGGTAGTTTTTAAACGGTAACCAAAATACTTCGTCAATTACTTGTTGATATAATGTTGTATCCATACCATATATATTAACTTTTTCAACTAGCGTAGTATTGATTCGGGCCCTTTTAAATCTGGGCGAACTTATTGATTTTGAACTTTCTGTTTGCACAAGAATGTTCCAAGGTTCATCGAGACCTTTCATTACGCGTGGAACAGCATGATAGCATAAACGGGATTCACCAGACATAACGAGCACATCTCCGCTACGTAAATAGACTGCTAATGGAGAAATTTCTTTTGTTCTTCCACCAATTAAAAATATCGCAGTTTGTCCAAAACTAAAACAATAAGCTACATTAAACAATTGATGTTAATTTCTATGAATTTAAATGGTACCTAAAAGAGAATAATGGAGCTGTTCGATTAGGTTCTGAATGATCTGTATGAGCAGAAAGCGTTGTGCCGATTGGGTAAAAATTAACAATAGCTGCTTGCGCTTTATACAACTGAAATCCTAAAGCTGAAGCAAAGTATGCACTTAATGAGGCAAGATCTTCGGGAAACTCCCCACACTTTTCTTCAGAGTACTTTTTAGAATCCCAATCATGGTGGTATCCAAGAGTAGCCCACCTCATTGAGATGTTCATACGACGTATTTCCTCTATGTCAGTGCATTTTTGCAAAGATAGCCACCAATCATCTAGCACTTCTACGGAAAAGAGTTGTGGACTTAAATTATTTACATTTGGACTTTGTGGGTAGTCTTGTAAACAACGAGCCATCCAGTAACGTTGACCCTGCACGGTGAATGGATTTTTTATTACAATAGCACCTGAGGAGTTCAGAGCATAACAGAGCCACTTGTTAATAGGTTCCAGACCTGGGAAGTGTTCATTTACATCTTGTCTGTTGTTTAAGTCCACTTTGTGTACCTATAATAAATAATTGAATTAATATTTCTATATTTTAAGGTACTTAAATTGCACTTATGAAGTAAAAGAAAATTTACATGTGAAGCAAATTCTTGTAGATTTTTATCAAGATCTATAACAGAGCCAAAATCTGGAACAGGTGATTTTCTTTTGTAGTATTTAAATCTTTCTTTAAACATTTTTAAATTTCCATAAAGCACATACTACATATTTCTAAAAAGTTATGAAAATCACAAAAAAAAATTTAAACATATGATTATGTGCGAACACTCCTCAGATTTATTTTAAATATGTATAAATGGATGTTATTCCATATGATGTTCACTATTTTAAGAATTTGTTTATTTAATTTGGCAGCACTTGCCCCAGGTATTAGCAGAGAACGTAAAATATAATTATATAAACAGAGAATGTAGATTATATAGATTATATTTTAGATTCTCTGATATAAATATAAACTATATTCTCTGTTAGAAGATGTTTTCGGCATAGTCCATATTAAAGCTACAAGTAATATAAATAGCAGAGAATGTAAAGTATATTTATATAATTATATATTTTACATTCTCTGCAAATAGTGTTAAAAAAAAAACAAATTTGTTTTTAATTATTTATTTATTTACGTTTATGTCTGTTTCCTAGTGCCGTTTCACACAGGGATTCAAAAGAGTCTGAGTTTTTTCAAATTTTCTTTTGGTGTCGCTCTGGGCATTCACACGGGCAAAAAGAGTCCAGCAACTCGAGTCTAGTTTTTCTGCATTCCTTTTCACAAAATTTTCGTAAATATTTGTGCGGTTCGACTGCGCAACACTGCGTGCTGCGTATTTCATTTGTATGTTGAGATGATGGTCACACATTTTGCTTGCAATGAATTACTATGAACATGGTAGAACAATATGCATAATACAAGTACCTACCCGCTAAATAGTTTCAAAGAAATACTAAAGACGGGAATTCCCTAATCCACAAGAATGTATTGAATATCCGCTACTAATATTTTCAAGGCCAAATTTATAATAACTCATAATTTCTTTACTCCGTATTAAAAATTCATAATTTCTTTGCCCTATAATCTATATCTTAATTTTCTCCTTATTTACAATTTGGCATAATATTTCTATTATTCTATGCATACATATTTGCATATTACATACAAAAATAGATAACAGAACTCAAATTTGCGATCGAATTCATTTGAAACCGAGCGCTCTTGCAACCATTCAAAGAATTTGAAAGTGAAAAGGAATGCTGAAAAGGGTAGCAGCGAGCTGTTACGAACAAGAACACAAAGCGTGCCACCCGAACACGAGTGGCACGGTCCCTTCGTCTTTCCTCGTCGTCCCCTCGCCCACAATAAACTGGTATGAGACTCTTTTGAGTCCCTGTGTGAAACGGCACCTATAAATGGTTTGTTTACACTTCTTCTTCTTGCGCGCAAACATCTGTGTTTCAGTGCTGACAGAATAAGTGATCAAATTGTTTACGTTAGGTGGGATTTTCTACCGACATTGAACTTCAAACTTATTTATTAAATCCTTTAAGATTTTTCACATTTATATTCCGATTTCCGACTGGGAATTGAAAGTTTTTAATGTTCAAATTTCAGGCGCATAGAAACAGAGTAGTAGAGTAGTTTAACAGCAAAAGGAATCGGTACTTTTATTTTATATCGTCTAGAGATATATTATCGCTTTAGCATTTTAAAAATTATGTTGTTTTCTTTTTTCAGTATTATCACACTAATGTCTTCGCGAACACATTTATTAGAATATTATTAGAATAATCGCTTATTAAAAATAAAGGCAAATAAATAATACATACGAAATTTAACAGGAATTGACATGATTTATTCATATTCGTCGACAACATAATTTGGATTCACAGTTTCAAGATTCAGTAGGTTTACTAACCAATTTTTTTTAAGCCGACACTTGATAAGATCTTTGGAGGTCCAAGTTCGATATTCTTTGGTTATATGCTCTTTAATTATTTGTAATAGATGACCGGATTGTTTAATATCCGCATTGTTTAATTATTTATCCAAGTAGGTTATCTTTCATTGCAAGGACACGATCCAAATTGTTGACTCTATTCAACTGGGGTTTAGCTGAGAGGTGCATTCAAATATCAAAACAGATACGAAACATCGTCGGGGATGTATTGATGCTCCCAATTCTATTTTAAATTAGAGAAAAATATGATGTAAATATGTTTTTACCTCTTAAATTATTAACGGATTCAACCATTTTGTAGTGATTAAAATATAAATTTTAGATATTGCAGTTAAACATTTGCTAGTGTTGCAAATAACACTTCAACAGTAAAATATCATTACTGTGCAAACGTAGTAATTATACCATTTTAATTATTCAATTCACAACAATTTTCAATGAAGTTATATATTCACATATGACGATTATGTAAGTATTTAAATGTATAACATTCCCAGTTATTGTATTTTCATTGTAGATGAATATTTGAGCAACACAGATAGTAAAAAGTACTTGCACCGTGTAAACTTCAAAATAGTTTCAAACGAGTTTTCCACATAGATCCAACATACGTTCCATAAAAAAAAAGAATATCTGAAGCTCAGTATATACTCTACTATGATCCCAAGCCTATAATTTTCGTTATTAACCTGAATTTACTACAAACTTTATAAATAATTTGTTGTTGTGGTTTAAATAGAACAAACAAACAAAGCTATGAATTATTATCGTTCAAAAAGCTTTCGTTGGGCATTTGTAAAATAATTACGTACTTTACCATACTGGATTGGCACAAAAGTAAATCGAATAAAGTTTTTATGTTTGTTAGTATACCATAGTGTTCCATTCTCCTATTGAGTTGTGTGTCAAAACTTTTTTGTCCTATCTTTATTCATCGATGACGTTAGATAGGGCGAACACATTCGTAAAACTTGTTGATGATTTAAGATATATTTCTACAGCTTTTATAGGTGCTTAGGGGGATTCCTGTGGCCCAACACGCTACTAGTACTATATTTTTTCATTATTTTTGTTAAATCCTACATATGTTGGCTATCATGCATCTTTTCTCAAAATTAATTAACCAAATTTTTTATAAATAAGTAGAAAGCAATATTGATACATAGATAAGTAAGTATAGTTATTCCAACTCTTATGTTACTAAATTATAGAATTTTCAAGTCCCAAATTTTGTTACTATCTATTAATTGTAATGTATTGGGTTATGAGACATTATGTTTCACACAAATTTTTTGTTTTAACATATTATTAGATTATAATTTGGCCAATTTTACATTTTGAAACTTTTTATATTATTTCAGTAAACATATTAACATGATTAAAGTAAAAGTATTATGTATTATTTGAATATTTTTTTAATATTATAAACTTTGTTAAGTTATTCAGATAAAATGTAAACTATTATTAATTGTATTGTTCTTTATTATTATTTGCACACAAATTCTAGACGACATAAAATTACAATAGTTTCATTCAATATTCAGTTTATTGCGAAAATTTAGTGATTAATATAATATTGATATTATGTTTGAATTTTATATTATTTTTTGTGTAGTAGTTAGTTATGATTACAATATTTGATTCAGAAAGGTTTTATACCGTCATAATTTTATTTGTATTTCCTAATAATACTTTGATATATTGGTTTATAAGGTTTGACTGCGGTCTCGCGTGTACGCTTAAATCCAGATCCAATAACAGTAGTTGGTGGTCGTTTTATAGGCACTGTTGATGGGATAACTTTTACTTAATTATTTCATAATTTCAAAATTATTATTTTATATACAAAGTTATAAATTTAAAATTTTTTTTATATTTGATTGTTTACTAAATAAGATTGCGTTGTTATTAATGCCCACGCCATTTATATATATATATATATTATATTATTTTTTGTATAAGATATATATTAGTATTGCAAAATTTTCTGAAATATGTATTTGTAGACAACATACCTTTTATATATGGAGTTGGAATAGTACGCTTTGGGATTCGAGGTTGATATTCTATTATTTCTTCATACTGTTCCTCTAAACTGAAATATAAGAAAAGTAAGTTAAAATAAATTATAAAATCAGGATCGAAGAAGCTGACAACTTGAAAAAGAAATGTAAATAATTTGGCTAAGTAACTTAAAACCGTATTAATTTACTTAAAGGTTTTCGTCTCTGTGTTTTCCTATTATAGTAGAATATTAATGTTCTCATGGATGTCATTTAAAGATTGCAGGCTAGTCTTTAGTCGGGTAAAATTCGGGAACTGTTCCGGTTCCGTAGACCCAACTATTATGAAAACGCGTAAACGTAGAAAAGGAATTCCATTTCAACTACTACTAGCTTATGTTATTTTTTCAATTACACTAAGAGATTTACTCCATAGTTTAAAAAAAAAAAACAATTTAATTAACTTAGTCGACTTATTAGACTAAGTGAGCATGTTAATAAACAGACAAGTTACAAAGTCTAAATATAAAAGATCATTTCATTGAGAAAACAAAAAAAAAAAAAGCATATACAAGTGTCTATGTCATTATACAATCTTCATACAAGTCGATTACACTTACCTCTCTGGCGGAGCACTGTGGTGTTTAATTAGATTTAAAAATTTAGATGCACCTTCACCAGTCGAAAACTTATTAAGCACCGTTCTAAAAAAAATTTTTTTTATATTACCATATGAAAATTGTTTTAACGAAATTTACTTTGAATATGTTTCAGCCGATTTTGGATCTATTTCCATAAGTTCTCGTAGTTGTTCTTGCGAAACTTCATCGTTCTTATCTGGTACAAGATATTTACGTATTTCAGCTAAAGCGTAAGCTATTCGTGCATGGGCCTCAGCTGGAGTTGCTACAGTGCTTATTTCTATGAAGAGATCCCTATTTAGATGCGCATGTTGTGGATCACCTGATTGTCTTAGTTCTTCTTCCTTATTACGGTCCCGCATTGAGCCACGGCCTTTTATAATAATCTTACACTGCGTCTCTTCATGCAAACGCCTTAATGAATTACCCTTCGGTCCCAATAATTTTCCTGTAAAGTTGAACTGAAAACAAAATACAATTAAGAAATATGTCAAATATTCTGTGAGTATGCAATATTACTTACCTTGGGATACTGCTTAACAGGAACGAACACTTTTTGAGTAATCTTCATTGGTTTTTGTTTATACACATCAGCTAGGTATTCTGTGCCTGGTATTCGACCAGTCGTATAAACTCGTTCAATTGCTAAAATTTTTAAAGTTTTGGGTAAGTCGGTCTCATATAACCCTACTTACAGCTATTACCTTCGTCAATAACCTGAACACATAAAGGAAATTCGCTACCTAGGCGTTCTCGTTCTTCGTTCAGGTCCGCTAGAAATTTCTGAGCAACTCCATTAATGCGAGGACCTTCATATTCCTCATTTTTACGTGTTGCACCTTCCTCATTAAAATTACTAGCCATTTTAATATTGTTTAACAAAACTTTTTCTGCAAACTATACACATAAAAGAAATTGTCATATACTCATACATGCAACAAACTTCTGTAGATAAAATTACCAGTGATGCCTACTCAATTTAGAGTAATACCAAACACTTATGGGCTAGATACTCACGAACACAAACAACTTTCCTGGCTTTACGTGACAGTTCATACTGAAACAACGAAGCGCAGGTAACAAACGGTATGCCACAATGAACGCTTTGTTTTCAGTTTAATCTATGCTTTCATTGTTTCTCTCTTATGGTATAAAAATGGTAAACGTTTGCTTGGCAAAGCGTAAAAATATGAGAGTTGCTCAACATTTTGATTGGCTGCGCGTCGAAATCTTTTTATGTGAACGTACTCATACAAAAGCATACATGGAACTTTTCTGTCAAAACAAATGACTAACGTAAAGCGAAGCAAAAATTCTATGTGAAATGGCCATAATAGTTAGTGTGCTTTTACATTGGGACTCAAAAGAGTCTCATTTTTCAAATTTTCTTTTGGTGTCGCTCTGTGCATTCACACGGTCAAAAAGATTCCAGCAACTCGAGTCTAGTTTTTCTGCATTCCTTTTCACAAAATTTTCGTAAATATTTGTGCGGTTCCACTGCGCAACAGTGCGTGCTGCGTATTTCATTTGTATGTTGAGATGATGGTCACACATTTTGCTTGCAATGAATTACCATGAATATGGTAGAACAATATGCATAATACAAGTACCTACCCGCTAAATAGTTTCAAAGAAATATTAAAGATGGGAATTCCCTCTTATTTGCAATTTTGAATAAGGGGTGTTGGGTTCGTAAAGGTTTGTTCATTAGTTTATAGGTCGAAGAGGTCCGTAGAATAGTTTAGTGATTTTTACTACTGCAATTAGTGTAATCAATAAGTAATTTATTAATAAAATAGCGGTGTTTGCACCCTCACACTGGTTGTCAGAAGCCGTATGCGTGCGACAACCAAGAGCTGCCACCTCCTAATCCAGGGTGTTATGCGACTCCCGTGCCCATTGGATGATTTGCAGCCAGGAGGTAAATTCGGCTGTAGTATAACGGAGCCTTCCCAACACCGGGCCGCATTGGGAAGTAACGGTGGCCTTACCGCGTCAAGGGGCTCTGGCGCGGCGGACTCTCTGTTCCCCTATACAAAAGTTGACCCGACGGCTCGCCCTGTCGAGCCAAGGGTCGTGAGAAAAAGATGAGCAAAATAACTAAAACAAAAACCACAACAACTACAACTATTGGAACCCGGCAACAACAACAGCAAACGACTTTGGACAACGGAAACAACAAGAACAGCGGTGTAGGTAAGGGCGAAACAGGGGCTAAACGTAAGTTCAACTGCCTGGACGCCCTTTCGCCAGAGGAGCGAGCGCTGTTCGAGGAGCATGCCAGGGATGAAGATGATGACATGCCCTCGTGTAGCGGCGCTCAGCAGGCGACTTCTACTGCGGCCGCCGCGGGAATAGAGAAAGAGAACCCGACGGAGATTCTCTCGAGCGGGAGCTCGGACACAGAGGAGTCGCAACGGGCGATCACCGGTGGGGCTCATAAACGAAGAAGGAAGAGGGGAGGCAGACTACCCCCCCTGCCAATAACTGGATGTCCGGGAGGACAGGACGATCCCAGAAGAAAGGGAATGAGCGGTGCCAGCCTGAAGTGGTACCTGAGGCACATCCAGGAGGGAAGAACTCCGGAGGAAGCCGAAACCCTAGCGCGAAACAGGGTGAGAGGTGACAGCACCTCCCCGGCTTCAGGAAAGCAAAAGGGTAGTAACACCGCGGCCATTAGGAAACGTAATGGCAGCAATCGAGGCCACTGCCCAGTAAGCGCAACTCAGCCCGCGGGCCGAGGTTGCGAAAGGGCAGCTCCCTCAACCACCCAAGCAGCTAAGCGGAAAAGCGGACAGCTGACGCCGCAGGAGCCGCCCAACACCAAGCGGTAGAGGGGCAACGTCGCACAGGCGACTGGTGGCCACCGCTCCGCCCCAAACCCCCCCGGCCAGTGTAGGGACAGCGCAGGTATGCGGATGCCCTCAAAGGCGTTCGCATGGCTGTGCTGCCGCTGAACTACCTGGCGGAGGCGCTGGGAGCGGAGGAGCTCACCGTGATCCAGGGTTTACTCATGGAGAACGTATTCAGAGGGTCTGGATACAAAGCCTCCTTCCATGAGGAAGGGAGGCATGCTGCAGGTTGACTGCAAGGATGAAAGGTCGGCTTGTTGGCTGAGGGAGATCGCTCCCAAGCTAGCAGGCTGGAATGGCCCCTTCCTCTGCGCGAAAAAGGGGACGAAATTCCGCGGACGGTATTTCCCCCCAGATGCGCTGGAAAGTCGTACGAGTTTGCTCTAGGACTCATCCGCAATCAAAACGATGGCCTCGACACATTGGCCTGGCGGGTGACCAGTAGCATAGCTGAGGATTCAGGGTGGAGGCTCAACCTCTGCATTTATGACGAATCATACAAATTCGTCAGGAGGGTGAGCTTCCGCCTGAACTATAGGTTCAGCTCGGTGGTCCTGAGGCCATTCAAGTCAAAAACGATCACCGAGGGTGATGCAGAAAAGAAAATGCAGGTGGATGAGATTGTGACTCAACCTGGAGGGGCTCACAAACCTGGCGGGAGACATCGCGTGAACCTGCACCACGCGGCATCGGCCTCGGCGGTTATCGCGAGCAGGTTCACGATGGATGGACTGGGCATACTACTGATCCAGGAGCCATGGGTCAATAAAGGAGAGGTCAAGGGCCTCAAAACGGAGTCAAATAAGGTAATCTGGGATCTCTCAAGTGAGAGACCTAGAACCTGCATAGTACTTAGGAACGATATTGACTTCTTCTGTATTTCAGAGTTCCTAACTCAGGACCTGGTCGCTGTGCAAGCGAGGAACGACGAAGGAGCGGACTTCGTCGTGGCAGCGGCCTATTTTCCGGGGGAGACTCCGACAGCACCCCCAGAGGCAGTCGGCAACCTGGTAGAGTACTGCAGGCGGAATAAGCTGCCCCTCATGGGTTGCGACGCAAATGCCCACCACACCGAATGGGGCAGCACGGACTGTAACACACGGGGTGAGTCTCTTATTGAGTTTACAGTCAGTAAGAATTTAAGTATAGCAAACGTGGGGTGCGAACCCACTTTTGTAACTAGTGTTAGAAGGGAGGTGTTTGACATCACTCTCAGTAACGAGTCTGAGACAGGGCTAATCTCACAATGGAGGGTGTCATCGGAACCTTCCAAGCGTATCCCTAGGAACACGGACTGGGCCGCTTTTAGGGACTCGCTTTTAACAAATGTTAGCAGTAGGGTGCAGCTGGATAGGAGTGCGTCGGCTTCTGGATTGGAGAGCAGACTGTCTGCCCTAAACCAATCGATTATAGAGGCATATCACAGCAGCTGTCCCCTAAAGACAACCACCAAGAGCCGTAACTGCTCCTGGTGGTCTAGCAAGCTCTCAGTGCTAAGAAAAACGGTGCGTAAGCTATTCAACAAGGCAAAGCGCACCGGTAACTGGGAGGATTACAGATGCAGCCTAACTGCTTATAATAAGGAGATTAGGACTGCAAAGCAGAAGAGCTTCAGGAAGTTCCTCCTCAATCCCAGAGGCAGCTAGGTTGAATAAGGCTCTAGCTAGGAGTAAGACGGACACAGTTCTAGCGATCAAAAGATCTGATGGGACCTATACGTCCAGCGCAGAAGAAAGAGCCACGGCTCTTCTACCTGCACATTTCCCGGAGACGATTCAAGAAGACCATATCCGACCTATGGTCGAAAGTAGGCCATCGCGCTTGGACTGGATAGTCGCAGAACAGCTCTTCACTGCAGACTCCATCAAGTGGGCTTTGACTTCCTTTGAAAAATATAAGTCCGGGTGCGGATGTTATCCTTCCAGCTTTTCTGCAACAGGGGAAGCAGGTGCTACTGCCCCACCTTGTTCGGCTGATCAGGGATAGCCTTGCGCTGGCATATATCCCAGAACCATGGCGCACTGCAGGGGTGATCTTCATACCCAAAGTAGGAAGGAAGGACTACTCATTGGCGAAATCTTTTAGGCCAATCAGTCTTACTTCTTTCCTACTTAAGAGTATGGAAAAGATCATAGACCACGAAATACGATCGAAGGTGCTGAAGGCTTCACCGCTTCATGCGAAGAAACATGCCTACAGAGCAGGCAGATCAACAAACACTGCTCTGTATCAGCTAACCTCAGAGATCCAGAATTCGTTCGATGGGGGCGAGGTGATGTTATGCGCCTTCCTTGACATCGAAGGTGCCTTTGCCAATACGTCGCATGAAAGCGTGTCAAGAGCACTGGAGAAAAGGAGTGTGGCAGGACCAGTGCGCAGATGGATTGAAGCCGTACTGCGCACTAGGGTAGCGGAAACCGCAGTAGGTGACACTAAAATTCGTCTGGGCACAACAAGAGGTTGCCCACAGGGTGGAGTGCTATCCCCCCTACTTTGGAGCCTAGTTGTAGACGATCTCCTTGAGCGGCTGACTAGCAATGGAATCCGCTGTCAGGGATATGCGGATGACATTGTTATCTTAGCTAGAGGAAAATTCGAAGACACACTCTGCGTTATCGTACAAAGGGGACTGGGACTGGCAAAGGGATGGTGTAGTGGGGTTGGCTTAAACATCAACCCCTGCAAAACTACAATCATTACCTTGACCAGACGGAGGTCACTGCCAGGCCTCAGAAGTATATCCCTTGACTGCAGAGTGGTGGCGATGGCCAACACGGTCAAATATCTGGGCCTCACGCTGGATTCCACTCTACGATGGAAGCTGCACGTGGACCAGACCCTAACCAAAGCCACAAAAGCAATCATGGTGTGCAACCGATTTGCTGGAAAATCCTGGGGGTGCTCCCCAAGGACAATCTGGTGGATGTACACCATGAGACCGATTATCACTTATGGAGCGGTATCGTGGTTTTCTAAAGCAATGCAGACTTCAGTAGGACTCAAACTGTCGAAGCTGCAAAGACTTGCCTGCATCTGCGCGTCGGGAGCAATGCGAACGTGTCCGACCGCAACACTGGAAGTCATGCTAGAACTTTCACTGCTACATCTGGTAATCAAACAGACAGCCAAACGAACTCTGCTCCAAATGACATCAGAGGGAGTTGGCAAAGGGAAGGTAATCTCATCCCAGCAGATGAAGGCGCTAAGTGAGGAAATACCACTAGCCCTTCTTCCAAGGGATAGCATTACCAAAGTAGTAAACTTCAACAGGAAGTTCAAAGTTACCCTTGGCAGGAAGTTTGAATGGAATAATTCATCACTGGACCTGCTGCTAAGGGAAAGCACTATCAAGTGGTACACCGACGGGTCGAAAACGGAGGAGGGGATTGGTGCAGGGGTCGCTGGGCCAAGCACCAAACTCTCCATTCCCATGTGAAGTTTCCCGAGCATCTTCCAAGCCGAGGTCTATGCTATTAGTCGGTGTGTAAGGATAAACCTCCAACGCAACTATCGCAATAAAAGTATTGCTATACTTAGCGATAGCCAGGTGGCACTAAGAGCGATCTCTGCCTATGAGGTCAGATCTCTTCTAGTGCTGGAGTGTATAGAACGGCTGAACAGCCTATCAGAACATGACCGAGTGCACCTTATTTGGGTGCCTGGCCACAGGGGTATAGCCGGGAACGAACTGGCTGACGAGCTGGCCCGCTCTGCGGCCTCTACAAAAATGATAGGACCGGAACCACTCATAGCGGTTGGTCCACATACAATTAAAGAGCTCCTCCGTAGGGAGGAAAGAGTAGGTAGGGAGACACATTGGCAACAACTTCAGGGCATGCACCATGCCAGACTGCTAATGGGAGACTTGTCGCGTTCTACACCGGCCATTGCAGGCTTAAGAAGCACCTCTTCAACATGGGCATAGCCTCTTCTGCAAACTGCCGGTTCTGCGACATAGAGCCGGAAACTCCTGAACATCTGCTGATGAACTGCACAGCAGTCTGCAGTCGCAGAATCAAGGCCCTGGGATCCATGTTTCTACACAGGGATTGTATCGCCTCAGTAGCACCCAGCAGAATTTTTGAATTTATCAACATGCTGGGCCTAGATGATACGATATGACCATTGGTCGCGGTGCATACCTCAAAATTAATCTATCTATCTATCTAAGGTTACACCACTAGTGCTGTTCATTTTTTTGAGCATCTGGTATCAGAGCATGTAAAATATATATATTTTATATTATATATATATATTGTATATTTTACATTCTCTGCTGGTATAGTTTGTTCAATTCGCTGGAGTGTAATGTAAGAAACAAAACGAAGGCGGCAGACGACAAGCAGCATCTGTCAAATATTAAAATAACGTGTGCATTATGGGCACAGTTATAATATTTAGACAGCAGCACGACTTAACGGCAGCAGGGTTGCAGTTGTCGCTGTCTTAAAAGAATTTCTAATTTTGCCGACAACAATAGGCGAATGTATGATGCCATCAATATGTGAAATGTAAAATTATTCAAAGCTACAAGTCGTAATGCTGTTTTACCAACAGAGGCATAAAATAACTCTGATGTATTATTTGTAATAACAGTTGATAATTTAAAACAAATAAATCGATCTATGGTATTTACTTATAGTTTCCTGAAAACATTTCACATTGAGCAAAATATTAAAATTTAAATTGTGTACATCAGCTGTTTGATACGTCGCTGCCGTCTTCAAAATGTTCAAGGAGCTGGCTTGAGTAGGGTTCGCTTTAGAATATTATATGAACATAGTACGTCGGGTTGTAATGTAAATATTTAAAAGACTTCTCTCATTAATTTTTATACTTTACAGTTGATGTGCATAACACGTTGCTTAAAATTCAAAATTAATATCAAATCTTCAAATAAATGCATTTCTACAGTCTTATTAATATTGTAATTAACAAAGCAAAGCTTTTGCTTTTAATTTAACTTATTTTGCGGATATATTTAATAATTTGGTTACCAAGACGAAATTGGAAATGACGCAATTGCGTTTGAATTTCAAATGTCCAAATTTCCTTTCCATTTGGCACAGCAATATGTAAAATTTGTTAACACCGTAGGAACTTTTTTCACCACAACTCAACACAGATAAAAATGTTACGTTTGGCACACAGCCTAAGTCTAAAATTAGCACAACACTGTTGGCAACAGCACATCTGAGAATTGTAGGTTAATGTGCTAAAAATTTGTTTTGAAATTCATATTTTGTTGGAGATTTGTATATTGCAAATTTGAAACAAAATCATGGATTTTGGTGAGCTTAGAAATGACGATAAGTTTACTAACACAGTAAATAATTTTTCAAGTGCTTTGGATAAAATAGAAAAAAGTCTTAACACAGCCGTCGAATTAAAAGAATTCGAAGAACTTTCAACACAAGAAAAAGTTAAATTAGATAATTATCTTGCATATGCAATAAACTCGCTATATTGGATGCATGTTAAGCTACGAGGAGACGATCCTAATGAGGTACTTTTCAATATGTTATCAAAATCATCTTATTAATTACATTGTTTACAATTAACAGCATGGCATAAAAAATGAACTTTCCCGCGTGCGCCAAACTATTGTACGCGATAAACAAATATATGAGCGCAATACCATACGACCGGTGATAGACAAAGCCGCTGCTGGACGTTTTATTAAACACGGTCTGCATGTAAGATTCGATGAAAACGGAGAGAGACTTAATGAAAACTCCTTAAATAATAAGATGAACCAAGTTACGGACATGGCTTCCTCTACGAATTCATAATAAATTGTAATGAATTATATATTTATATGTAAGCAATTTTTCGTAATAATAGGAACGTTAAGTAAATCTTAATGTTGATAAGTCAAAAAAAGGAATATATAGACACGTATACCAATTTTGCATTATATTAAAACTTAATTAAAGCGCTTCAGCATTTTGATAAATTTAATTATGTTAAAATCTAAACAAAAAATACTCTTAAGTTATGAAAGTTAACACAGATTTAAGTCTTTTGAGATTAGAATGATTTGGTAAAGTATTATCTATCATCTAATTATTAGGAAACATTATTTGGGAACGAAATACATAGATAAAATCATGAATTTTGAATTATTATAAATAGGGGATAGGGATATTAAAGAAATAACCTCTAATACGCGTTCTGGATAATATGTCCTAAACGTAGAGACTAGAGGACTATATGACACTAGATAGGTAGATTAGTATGAGGTTGCCTAAAACTAACATGACACAAATTCCCATCTAATACCCTTATCACTATTTGAAGATTCAAACAGAATTAGATCGCCGAAATAACAGATCTTGACCGGATAAATTGAATTGAATGGGAATTGCGTCTAATGCCCCTTCAACTGTGATCCGAGTCCGTAGAAACAGCTCCTTTCGTAGGCCTGCCGTTAAATGGTTTCGTTTACAATTAGTCAACTTTCCCAGTATTATAGATAACCGATACGCACCAACAACAACAGTTTATTAACATTGTCCAGTTGAATCGCTGTAGTGCAAATTAGTTGTTTACCATTATACTTTTATCTTAGTTTTGTTTTTGAATTGTATACACCTCACCAACATTTACGTACAAGTGTTATAATAAAAATCATTTAAACAAAAACGTGGTAAGTAATCGAACTAAAACGATATATAGAAGGTAATGACAAACAATTATGTGAGTCTGGTAAAGCTAATAACATTTGTAATATCTTAAAACTCATTAACGTTAGCTTTTAACAGCATTTTTATAGTTAAATATTTGGAGATGAGTCATTAGAGAAAGCCCCACTGATGAAGCACATGTACATATGTCTGCATATAGTATGTATACAACATAACATAAATATTATTTACATAAATATGACCATGTAATGTACATATGTATACAACAGGTAATTTTACTGTAATTTATATACATACATATATACACATATTATATTAAAGATATACGTAAGCACGAAAAAAAATTTGGTAAATTTTACCTATTTGATCTTGCAACAGATATACTTACACCTTTCATAAAACATGTGAAGATTTGAAGGTATGTCTCCATATACATAATCAAGGTCACACAAATAATGACATTTAATATACATACATACTTATATACATGTCGGTATTTTTTGTTCTTATTTAATTGTTTATTTGCCAAATGTAAGTACAACATTTTTTTTATTTAGCTCTCACTTTCTTCCGACAAGGGAGAATTCATTAAGGAAAGCCAATATATATTTACATATACGTATGTATTTATACACATATACTTCGAAATGTACATATGAACATGTATGTATGTATGTAGTTTTATTACATTAAATTCATACCTGACCTCTACGTTGTATATACATATTGAATAGAAGTACATATTAGTCAAGCACATATTCTATTACAACACAAGGATAATAAATATGTTTACGAACAGTCCTAATATCATATACATATGTACATACATATGTAAGTATACTTACTTTCAATATTGTGCAATGTATTTCGTCATAACGATCTACATATACGTATGTATGTAATGTGTAGCTGAATTATTAGAAGCACTCAATTCCCTTTCAATCTAACGTCATTTAAATACCCTGAATAATCGTTGGTTTATATAAAAAAAGTCGATTTCATAAAATATTTCCATGCATATACATATTATGTAAGTGCATACTTATGTACAATATTGTGATAACATCTAAACAAATATTTATACATTTAATAAAACATTTTGTATAAATACTATATTTTGATCTTTGGTACACACAAGTATTAGTTGATAAGTAACCGGAGGTGTGGCTATATTATTGTCATAAAAAACTATAACAACTATTATTTTTTTAATTGGGAGATGTGCAACGTTTTAGAATTTTGTAATCAATTAATCCAGTAATTGAGCTTTATCTGGACATTTTCACGTACGTCTGGAGCGCTTTTTTGTACGTAGCAAGAGGAGATTTTATATTCTTACCAACAAAGCTACAATGCAATCGTTGACCCATATTTGAGTAAAAACATCAGATGTGTTAATATTTCAATTGTAACATTTATATTATTTTATTGTAACAGGAATTACCACATATCATCAGATAATTTGTACATACGCATACATATTTGAATATAGCTTTAGAAAACTGTAAGTTTGCATTAGAACAATATATTAGATGCAAGATAATAAATGTATAATTTTGTGCATTGTGGTGGACAACTTCACATTAGTTGCGACACGACTTTCTCTCAATAATTCTAATCTCTATATATGTACTTATGTCCTTTTCATATGCCGAATTTCTCTCGCCAAAATACAATTTCGCGAGCTTTATTGCTGATATAATGAATCGCTCTCTGGGTTCACTGCTTTTCTCTATACTATCTCGTTTACTTCTTCTTTACATACATATGTGCACATAAATATATATGATTTAATAGTCAATGCATTACATAATATGAACTACGTGCTAAAATAAGGTGCTAAATAAAACAAGAACAATATGCGTTAGATGTAACAATATGTTTAATGTCTGTTATAACGCACACTTTTAATCCCCTCCCTTCTATTTTAACATGTGTATTTGTTTCACAATTTTCGAAGGAAAAAAATCATATTTGGTTCTTTTTACTTAACGTGTCATTTATTAGAGATTATTTAATTCCAGTTGGATCATCTGATAATTAGATGTAAACATATGCAATTTTACTTTATTTTCATTTGTTACAGAAGTAATACGGATTTTAATTCGCTTATTGGATTAAATGCTGCTGATCTATTGTGTGTATACATTTCTTAAACCCATACGAGCTGCCATACTTCTGTTTTAATTTGTTTTCATATCCACTTTAATCCTTGGTCTGCATGTATTTGATCAGATCGATGACGCGGTTGGAGTAGCCGAATTCGTTATCGTACCATGAGATCAACTTAACGAATTGATCATTTAGGGGAATACCAGCCTTAGCGTCAAAGACAGACGAGTGTGTGTCACTGACGAAATCGGTAGATACTACCTCTTCATCGGTGTAGTCTAAGATACCCTTCATTGGGCCTTCTGCAGCTTCCTTAACTTTTTGCTTGATTTGGTCATATGTAGCTGGCTTGTTAAGTCGTACAGTCAAGTCGACAACTGAGACATTTGGTGTTGGAACACGGAATGCCATACCAGTCAGTTTGCCGTTTAATTCAGGGATAACTTTGCCTACAGCCTTTGCGGCACCAGTTGAAGCGGGAATGATGTTCTGGGCAGCACCACGTCCATCACGCCATAGTTTGCCTGAGGGACCGTCAACGGTCTTCTGAGTGGCAGTAGTTGCATGTACAGTGGTCATCAAACCCTCAACAATACCAAAGTTGTCGTTGATGACTTTAGCTAAAGGTGCCAAACAGTTGGTGGTGCAAGAGGCATTAGATACGACCTTCATGTCAGGCTTGTAAGCGTCCAAGTTGACACCGCAAACGAACATTGGTGCATCGGCAGATGGTGCCGAAATAATTACCTTCTTGGCACCACCCTTGAAGTGAGTAGAAGCCTTATCGATTGTTGTAAAGACACCAGTCGATTCTACAACGTATTCAGCACCAGCGCTAGCCCAGTTAATGTTGGCTGGGTCGCGTTCGCTGAAGACAATGATTTTTTGGCCGTTGACGACAAGTGCTCCGTTATCGGCAGAAACGGTGCCCTTGAAACGACCATGGGTCGAATCGAATTTGAACAAGTAAACCATGTAGTTTACATCGATGAAGGGATCGTTGACCGCAACAACTTGGGCACCTTTCTCGACAGCGGCACGTAGTACCAGACGACCGATGCGACCGAATCCGTTAATACCGATTTTGGACATCTTCACTTTTTATACTTGGCTTATTAACTTCAATTAATTAAGTTATGAAAAAGAAGTGGGAAAAGAACTACCGTTCAATTCACCAGCAGAGAAACAACTGAGAACTGTAATTCACCCGTTGTTAAGCAATGTCAGAGAAAAAGCATACCGGCTATCCCCAATGTCACTTGAAGGGCATTCAAATTCATCCACCAAGTTTTGCAAATTGCTGCGCTGGTATTTTTCCAACCATTTCAACTTTTCGTTTGTTGAAGCAGAACGGCTAGTATTATTGTTTTCTGTACAAGCTTTTGAAGTGTTGCCAGCAAAGTAAAAAACAATACGTCATAGGTACGTTCTAAAACAAGTAACTCTTTAATCGGTATACAAATATTTAATTATAATTTTTTTCCGGTGAGAATATGAAGAATTAAACTTACTTTTTAATGAAAAAATTATATTTAAATTAATATTAAATATTTTTATTTCCACAGTAAAAATACTTAAACTTTAGTCTTCAGTTGTTCTGAAAACAGTCCCTATGAGAAAGTAATAAAACTGCTACTCCTTAATTTGAAAACAGACTCTATTTTTATTTTTTCCTTTCAACAATTCCATAGCTCCAGCACTCATTGCAAAAAAACAAAAAAAAAATAATAATAAATAAGTACACGCATTTCGGCTAACTTTTCATTTTGAGCTATGTTCTCTGCCGACAAATGAAACTCCCTCACAAAGTAGTTGTGTGTACTATAAGTACTAAATCTAAAGTGGACCAAAAGTTCCTTTACCTTTCTTACGATGATAAATCGACTAGAACCCAAGAAAATTCAGTTTTAAATTTAATTGTCTTAGTTTGATTTTTAATTATTTGACTTTAGAGTGACCTGGACATAAATTTGTTTGCTTACCGCAAATTGTGGTCAAATCGATTGGGTTATTAACAAGGCTCCGTGGTGATCAGATAGAAATGGATCCCACGACAGTCGAGTCTACGTAACCGGAACGGATTCGGATTTTTATTCGGCCAAGAACTGTCAACTAGACAAAATTTTGCCGCTACAACAACAACATAGAAATGGAAAATTTGATAGGTATGCACTGTGACCTATGGTCTATTGAGCCCTCCACTATTTAATAAGGACTTACATAGATCCAGCACCCTCATTAATTAAAGGATGTTTTTGTAGTAGCGACAGAAAACATTCCTGAAGTAAGTTCGAGGAATGGTTCCGAGTTGACCGTATAAAATCCGAGTCCGTTCCGGTTACTAACACCCAACTGTCAGAGAACGGTAAATTAAAGGATCGTACTAATCGCTGGAGAGTCAATGCGTTCCCTGCTAGGATATGTGGATTTCAGGGGTTGGTTCCTGCGACTACAATTTGCTACGCTAATACACACGTCACAGAATCGACACATTACAGATGAGATTATGCCCCTATTATAAAGGTTTCTCTTAAGCCTGCAGTGACTGGTGTATATTGAGACAGGAAACCTGAATTTATCGCTAGGGAGGTCTATTATTTGTTGAACCTCTTGAGGTTGTATACCCCCAGTACAGGTCCAACTTAGTGCAACCTAGGTGCTTGCTTCCAATGCCTATCTCTCTCTGCCCTATCCTCCTTCCAGAATAAATCTCTTAGGTATGGTGACCCACTGTAAAGAAGGATTCTGGTTTAGCTGGGCCCACCGCAAAGCCGCTATTTCTGCACCCAAATGAAGTGGACTCGGTTACAGATGAAAAAGCTGTTATAGTTATAGAGTGATAGTACGCACCACAGTACATAGAATCCGCACTGTTCTTCACTGAAGGGTAACATTTTACTGAATTCACAGTAGAGCGGTTGTTCGACCAGAGAATGTTAAAGAATATATATTTTTCGATGTTCCCTCATCTGAATTACAAATTAGTACACAAAAAGATTTGATTTAACATTTCTATTCTTTAACATTCTCTGGTTCGACTCAGTGGCCTATTAATTTTTAACCGGCTTTTATTCCACTTTTTACAGCAATATGATTTTATTTGTATTTGTCGAAAAGTAAGAACGTTTGAATGTAAAAATCTAATTTATATTTTAATTTAATAATTTTTATACAGTGAAAGTATTCTTTTTATTATAGTACTTGCAGAGCGAATTTTTCAAAGAAAACGAGCTATCATTTATGTCATTACTAGTGTTGTGTTACTGTGCACTTACGGAACTTATGATGAAGTTTGGCCAAGCTCAGATAGTGTGCGAAGACACGAGATCAAGCGTCTATACAACTGGGGAAAGGAATAACATCAGAAAATTCTATTTTTGACGATCCTTGATTTAAGTGGTGGGATCCACATGCTGACTATCCATATGTCGGACATTTTGATAGTGGTCAAAAGATTTCACAGCAACAACAAACAAAGTATAAATAAATTTACAATATAATTTTCTATATTCTATTAAAATAGTAGGCCAATCAAAACATTATACAGAGAACGTATATCATAGAGAAGGTTCAATTGCGGACCAGCGTGTGTTATACGTTCTCTGCATTATATTAGAGATTATTGAAGAGTGTACAACAAGACATACCTACAAAAAGCTATTTGAAAACAAATTAAAAAAGTATTTAAAGATGTGTATTAAAATTAGTTTATTTTTTAATTAAATAATGTTTTATTAACCTTTTTTTCAAATTTCCAATTAAATTACGTAGAACCATATTAATTAATCTCTTTATACCTTTATGCACATTTCTCTAAATGTGGACAAGCATAATCAATATCAATATATTAACAATGTGCAGTGCATTTGCGATAAAAGTAAATATAGTAGCCGGACTTTTCTGTGTCTGATGTGGTGTGTCTGTAAATATACGCTTGGCAAGATGTTTCTCAACATTTAAAAAATTTTTATTTTCATTTTAGAACGACTTTTCAAAAACTAATTATCCTAATCATTCTTTCGCTTTTGTAATATAAGAAATTTAAGTACTCTAAATTTAATATTTTTAGTCTTAATATGTTGTTGTAGTTTTTTTATAACTACTTTTTGTTGTCAAAAGATAACTATTACTGATAAAAATAAATATATAATTGAAGACGCAACTGATTTTTGCAATTAAGAATCGTACTTAACCAAAGTTAACGAAAAATTGTTAGTAAACAAATCGTGTATAAATTTAATTATCATGACGTCAAAGTTTTTAATGAAAATACTTATTTGAAATTATTATATACATATGCTAATCGAATTTTTGATCGAAAACAATAATGACCACCTGCATATTAACGTTATTTTTTATAATTTTCGAAGATTTAAGAAAAACATATTTTGATTTGAGGGGGAATTTTTAATCACAGAAACAAATATCGCACTTTAGTTCCTTTTAAAAAATCCATAGCATTAATTTGTTACTTACTTGTTCGAGTAGACTTCAAACATATTTTAAAATGACTATAGTGATCGAAGAAGGTCCACAGATATGGTTACTCTTAAAAGTAAAACCATTTTAAAATTAGTTCCTAAACAGATTAAAAAATTAAATTTTTTTATGTGTCTTTCCGACACATTAACAATACATTTGAACAAAAGTATGATTTTATACGCCTTTATGCTTAAACCGATTATAATCATTTAGTTAGTGCAATTTTAAGTAATGTAATTTATTGATATAGTTTCATGATTTATCCGCATGTGAATTTATTATTTTCAGCACTTGCTTCAAATTTTCTAAGTTTCTCTTCTGTATCTATAATTATCGTATGTATGTATACGTATTTATGTAATGCGTAAGTCCATTGATTTAGAATATCCATGCGCAGGCAATTCATTTGTATTAGTTCAGTTGTCATGTTTTTGTTGTTGTCATGATATCATATAATGTTGTTGTATTATATATTTTTGTTTTAAAAGGTAATTTTCAATATTAATTAGTATTATATTTAAGCAAACTTAAAAACTTTTGACATTTCGTGTTGTTATTAACTACTGACAGTATGATCCTAATATATGTATGTAAATATACATACTTACATACTATGGGTAAATGTTGTATGCTTTATGCACTTAACTTTTATTTATGTATGTTAATAAATATTAAATTGATTATGCGGTTACTTTTAGGCGACATATGTATGTAATTTTGTTTTCTGACTATCCATGTTGCAATGCTAAGTGACAGCGATTATGCCAACATCGCATATCATTAACACTACTCATTTTCAATTATAGCACACAATCCTGGACTCATTTTAAATTTTGCTCCTGGATAAGGTTCCTGTGTTCCGATGTTTGTATACAGACGTCACTAAGTGAATGCATGTATTCTGATTTATTGTTCACAGATTTCGCATCTAACTAAAGTTTCGCCATTATGTTTGCATTTATCCATGGTGAATGTGTTTCTGGTCGTTGTTGCATGTATGGATTTCGGTCAGAGATCTTTAAGCAAAGCGCTTTTAGCATTCTTTAGTTTGTCTAGTCGCTTCAGCAGGTGATTATTTGAAGTTTCCAATTCCTCCATACGTTCCATGGCCTCACGATTCTATAAAAAAATTTAGCTTTTGTCAATAACCTTACATTATATAAAATAAATAATTTCATAAAAAATCCAACACTTTGAGATTAGTCAAGTACATAACTAATTTGATAAAAAGCATTGTAACAAAACATTAAATTAATTGGAAACAAAACCAAAGAAAAATATTTCATTTAAACTACTTCGTATTGAGTGAATTATAAATTCCCACTTATATATAATATTTGAACAAATTGGAAAAGGCACAAGGCACACAAATTATTATTGTATAATATTGTTAGAATTGGTAGTCAAATACATAATTATATAATATGTATGTATATGTTGATTAGTGAAAAAATTAGGTAATTCATGAGCGAATTTTCAACGAATTTTAATAGTTCCCTATGTAATTTTAAAGTTACACGCCTATCTCAGAATTGTGTGAGTTAATAAAAAAAACTATAAAAACTATACTATCATAAATAAAATGAATAAAATTAACACGTCACTTTAGTTAAATTTCTTTCAAATTACTTTATGTTCAGTAGTAATAATTTAATGCCGATCTTTATATTTTTGATCATAAATAAAAATTATTTAATATCTCCGTTTTTAGTAGTGTGTTTACATTTATATCTAGTATATACTAATCAATCTTGTAATTCATAGCAAAACTGCTTTAATAAAAGGATACAAATTTTGAAAAAAATATTTAAAGTAGTATTACAAAACTTTAAGGAGCATGGCCACTGTAGCGGGCATAAAATCATGTACAGATTCATTAATTGTTTTTTGTGATATAATCATTTATTTTCAGAACTCTTGAAACACTTATCAAGTTTGAACCTCAAGCTGCTGGAAAATTAGTTATTTCAGTTCATTTTATTGACTATAATAAACAATAGAACTCAAAGTTATATAGTATATAAGTTTAAAGTTTCACATACAACTATAGCTGAGCCAGAGTTGGGCTTACTATTTACGCTTAAAGTCGTTTGGAAAAATTTTCCTCGTTATAAATCACCTTGAAAGATATTTTTATGACTATAAAGCATAGTATAAGCGAGAAATCAAAAGATCAATTGTCTGAAAATTCTACAGTGGCCCCTTAATTGACTTAAAAGAAAAATTGACTTTTTTATTCTTGACTATTTAATTTTTACGAATGAAGCAAATTTTCACAGGATTTTAGCCACAAGGTAACCTATCATTAATGCTAAAATTTCAATAACTTTATTAAAGTTGGTGTAGTCTTTGAAATTTATTTTATAAACTTATATTTGAATAAATTTCGTCTTTAATTCCAATCTAAGAATCTGAGGCTATGTGAAACTATTTTCAGAAAAATATCTCTTCAAATAGAATCATGCATTAAATATATGTAATTATTTTATATATGTACATCTCGTTCACTCTCTCTAGTGAAGTGCATTTTTTCTTATATGTGTAGCTGGCAAGTAATGAATTGATACGAGCCCTATTCTAACACAGTAATTACTAATTGAGGTTCTTTTTATCTAAAGTTTAGAACTTACTTTTCGCTTTAAAATAAAACGTTATGCGATTTTTATTTTTCGCTTAATGAAAATAATAATTCTTTGGTTATTATTGACAGAAAATGGATGACTGAATTATATTTTATTTTTTTCTGGGACATTGCACCTATCTTGAGGATGTTTTTTATGATTACCCTATTAAGCACACTTTTTTTTCATGCACTTAACGATACAGTTAGAACTTTTATTAATTAGGAAGTTCGGGGAACAAACCACATGTATATATATAATATTTTGAAATGTATAACTATACCGTCACTTATATGTTTCTTAATGAATTATTTAAGTATGTTTGGATTGAAGCATTTAAGTTTTTGTTTAAGATAACTATAAAAACGATTTACTCATATCTATTGGCAATGACATTCATCCCAAAAATGTATAACTAATAATTCCTAAATTAAATTGGAAAAAATATATTATAATAAATATAATTGTAGTAAAATAAATCTATTTGAGTATATACAATTTTGTAATTGAGCTCTTACTTCTCTTTGCAGCTTTCTCCGTTCTATTTTTAGTTCAGCTTCAGCTTTTTCAGCCGCTTCCGCCGTGCTTTTATAACGTATAACTTGTGTTTCTGAACGTGCCAAGCTTGCTTGTAAGCCGGCGATTTCTTGTTCAGCCTTTTGCAGTTTATACTTGTAGTCTGATATTATTTTATTCGCCTCCCCTAAGCAAAATAAACTTTATTAGCCACTTAAATAATTTAAGCAATTGCGTTGTCTCTTACTTTGTGCTTCATAATCCTCGTCAGAACCTGATGGTCCGTTAAGTGAATTGGATCGCCCTTTGCCTTGGCTCTTATAATTTTCTAATGTCTCCTGCAGTTTTTGCACTTCTGCTAAAAGTTGTTGTTTCTCCTCGCTGAACTTTTTCAGTCGCACATCTGGTAGCATAAATATTTGTATATAAACATTCTTGTAATGGATTTATGTACACCAAATAGTAATACAAACCTAGTGAGCCTTGCACTGAACCTAACAGCTGAGCATTTTCAACACTGACTAGAGCACGTTTTGCATCGGTACCCTCTTCATTCTCTACGGCTACAATAACTAAGCCCTGATCTGCGATTAGTTTATCGCGTTCAGTTAGTTGACCTTGCACCAATTTAAGTTCTTCACTTAATTTATCCAGATTCCTTTTTAGCGCATTGCAATCACGTGACTTATCCTTAAATTCACGCTGAAGCTGCGCATAAGATTCTTCCACTTCCTCTAGTTTGTCCTTCAACAGTTGTATTTGATACGTTTGCGAAGCGCGATCGTTATCCAATTGCGCATTGGCTATCATGGCCTTTCGAAATCTTTCCTCAACATCCTGCATTATAATAGACAAAGCATTTGGTAAATTTAGCAACTCTTCTGTTTAGTTTTGTACACTCACCTTGAGTTCATGCCGTATATCCCGCAGACTGCGGCCTTCTTCCTCCAGTGAGTCTTCACTGCTGCGTCGTGATGACATCGAGTTGGCCCGTGTGCTGTTAAGCACTGCACCGAGAGGTGAGCTGCTGACACCGGTTGCGAGCCGTGACCGCGATAATGGGTCGATGCCGCTTGAGGTGTGCATGTCGAAAACACGGTCTGCATTTTGCTCTTGCTCCTTTTGTTGGCGTTCCAACTCACGCATCCGTATTTCGCGTGCCTCAGCGCGCGCTTGTCGTCGAGCAGCCAAACGGGCCTCGGCCTGTAATTAATACGTTAATATTATAAATATATATAAGTTAAAGTATTTGTACAACCAAAAATTTTTAGTTCAATATTATTTTATGAATAATGAATTTTATTCCTTTAACTTTTTGGTACCGTTATTTGCATAACTGATATATATAGCATCTTTCTTAAACAAAAATATTTCTACATAAAATTCAGACTTTTGTCAATATTCTTTTTGGTTGATCACAAAATGTTGGATGTGTGCATAGAAAAATTTCATTGATTTTTCGATTATTTTCCGTTATACCATATATTGCATCAATAATGATTGAAGCGCATAGAAACATTTCTATCATTCTTGTTATAGTATATATATGCAAATACGTCGACAAAACAATTAAGATTTGAAAACCAATTGCATAAATACAACATTTATTTCACAGGTATATAATGATATAGTAAAGATGTTATAAAATAAAAAAAGCGAAGCAAGTCATACTAATTTTGAATAACAAAAAAATATGTGTCGAAAACATTATTATTTACCAGCTGAGAGAAGTACTTTGACATTTTGATATTTTGAAAAATATGGGTTAATTTCGTATGTTAAAAAACACTATTTTTATCAACCATAATGCTGCTGTAATAAAAAGTGACTTGATGAGTGATATCCGGCTCTGCGCCAATGGAAATAATCTTTAGAGTGGTATAATCAATTCCGCACAGGCCGAAGAGCACCGAAGACGATAAATCTAATAGACGTCTATAAGAGGCAGTTATGTACTCGTACGAAAGCAATGAAATTGATCTAGATCGCTGATAATCTAATTCGAATGCTCTGTGTCTCAAATAAATGAACACTATGGGGAAATTATATATATAGGGCTTCCAATTGCTTTAGCAACCATTGCAATGTTTGTATGGCAGCTATATGCTATAGTGGTCCGATATCGGCGGTTTTGAGAACTGAGCACCTTCTTAGGGAGAAAAGAATGTGTGCGAAATTTCAGAATAACAGGCAAATCGACTCAGTTTGTTGGGCTGATCTTTTTTATACATATGAACTTTAAAGGGACTCCATCGTTTCCTCCTAGGTGTTACAAACTTCGTGGATATAAAAACAGTAATAATAAAATCGAAATTTGTACACAAACAAATTTAAGGTACGTGTGTTTTTAATTATTGCGAAATTATTTATAATATAAGAGAGTAACTTAATATTTATTTTCTTTGTTTATACAGAAAATTTTATAAATCGATAAATTTTTATTACTCGCAAAAAAATTGTAATAACTCTGAGTCACTTATTCATTGGCGCCTTATCGCAACCGTTAAATGCTAGATTATTTTCAACAAATATAAATAAAAATCAAGTTATTTCCAAGCATTTATATATGAACACAATAAGTATACGTACATTTTTGCTTGATATTAAAGTGTTTTAAACTACAATTTTATCAAATACTATACTAACTGCAGCAACACTTTCGACAACTATTTATTGACACCTTTTTCAATTAAAGCATGGACGTATGCTCAATGAATGTACATACACATGTACATGTATTTATATATATGTTTGCACAATTCAACGACGGCTATAACACTTGAAGATTACGTCATCACTAAGCTTAACAATCTGCCTAAAATGCTGGAGAAACAACATACGACGGAGTTTTAAATATTATAGCTTAAAAATTGGTCTGTTGAAGCAATCATGAAGAGTTGAAATTCACAAAAAATACATATTAATATCATATATACATATCTACATACTACATATGTATTTATATACACAATCATCATCGTTAATAGGTAAATCTAAATGCATAGCATTGTATAATTTGTCATAGCAGCATGTGTGGATCTAATGAATCACACACGATTAAAGCATTTCATTTACTGATGACTTGTTATCTCACAGGAAAATGTAACACATCTTATAAGGAACTGTTGATAGCTACGCTCAGAAAACATTTCATAAATAATGTTGTAGGAATGCTGCCGAATTCACAGTCCTTGGCTGATTAAAATTCCGTAACCGTTCCGACCCAACCTTTTGATAATGTTTCATAGCTTCAGAGGAAATTTTCCGGAGTAGCCGCAACTACAAAGATTAGCCGCTTTAACAATAACATTTGTATATATGTATATGTAAGTTTGCGGTTAAAGGGGTCTACAAAGTGAAAAACGATAATTACTCACTTCAAAATTGTTTATGGAATTGAAACTTTAGCACCTTTTTGTAGTAAAATGTGCAAATTTTCGCTGCTTTCCCCATTTCTAGTTTTACAACAATATTTAAATAATTTACTTGATATATAAACGGTTGCTAATTTATGCATGCCACATCGTGAATTAGGTAAAAAAATAAGAACATTGCGGAGGAATGACAGTTTAACTCAATATAGCGTGGATCCAGAAAAAAAGTCATTTAAAAGTCAAAAACGTTTTCTGGAACTATATTAATAACCATTTAATGCCTACGCCTTGGTAAAGAATCATAAATTATTGTATAAAATTAAAATATTAGGTTCTCATGTGTATTTAACAATAATTTTGATAGTTCAAAATAAAAAAAATTTATTTAATTACTGAAACTAATTTTTAAGAACGAGACCAGAACGTGTTTTATTTCTTGTTTGATACCAAAGAATAATATTACACAATTCCCACAACATTACATACTAGTTTTGTTTTACGTGTCACTTTTAATACGTGTAACATTTTTATACTCTCGCAACCTGTTGCTACAGAGTATAATAGTTTTGTTCACCTAACGGTTGTTTGTATCACCTAAAACTAATCGAGTTAGATATAGGGTTATATATATATAAATGATCAGGATGAAGAGACGAGTTGAAATCCGGGTGACTGTCTGTCCGTCCGTCTGTCCGTAAGTCCGTCCGTGCAAGCTCTAACTTGAGTAAAAATTGAGATATCTTTATGAAACTTGGTAGACATGTTTCTTGGTACCGTGAGACGGTTGGTATTGCAGATGGGCGTAATCGGACCACTGCCACGCCCACAAAACGCCATTAATCAAAAACAAATAACTTGCCATAACAAAGCTCCGCAATAAGATACAAGACTGTTATTTGGTACACAGGATCACATTAGGGAGGGGCATCTGCAGTTAAAACTTTTTTTAAAAAGTGGGCGTGGTCTCGCCTCTAATAGGTTTAATGTGCATATCTCCTAAACCGCTAATGCTATAATAACAAAATTCACTAGAAGCAAATGTTTTTAGCACTTCTATTGACGGTGTGAAAATAGTTGAAATCGGGTGGCAACTCCGCCCACTCCCCATATAACGGTACTGTTAAAAACTACTAAAAGCGCGATAAATCAAGCACTAAACACGTCAGAGACATTAAATTTTATCTCTGAGATGGTATAAATTGGGTTTATAGGAACCGCGTTCAAAATTAGTCAGTGGGGCGTGGCACAGCCCACTTTTAGGTGAAAACCCATATCTTGAGATCTGCTCAACAAATTCGGTGCATAACGTTCTTTTCATGTTTCTATGTCATAGTGCGAAAATGGGCGAAATCGGACTACAACCACGCTTACTTCCCATGTAACACCATTTTCAATTCCATCTGATTCTTTCACTTTCCACTATGCAAATCAGGTAACAATGATTATATCGGGGTAAAACTTTGCGTGAATAATGCAATTAAAGTATGCCACCTTGCGGCCAAAAATTGTCTAAATCGAACCAAAACTGTTCAAACCCCTAAGTACTAAATATGTGGACCCCAGTGCCTATAGTTGACCTTCTACCGAAAATATCAGTCAATCCACAAAGAAATCTCAAACGAGTATACCATTTGACTTTGCGAGAGTATAAAATGTTCGGTTACATCCGAACTTAGCCCTTCCTTACTTGTTATGTTTAAATTGTTAAAGGTTCTGTATTAAGTTCATAGAACACCAAGTTAGGTTACTTGGCACTCATTTCTCAACTCATGTGTCGTCGATACGGATTGTTACAAAAATTTTAAAAATATAAACATCAGTGTTGGGTCTGTTTTTAATTTTATACACTGACCAGAGATATTAAGTAGCTACGAAGTTGGTAAGATACAAAAGGAAACATCAGAAACCTTAAATACATACAAGTATAATATATAAATGATAAGCGTGACGAGCTAAATTGATTTATAACTAGTTCCTCAGTTTTTGAGATATTGATCTGAAATTTTGCACACATCCTTTTCACAAGAAGCTGCTCATTTGTCGAAACCGTCGATATCGGTCTACCACAGCATATGCAAGTATGTAGCTGCCATACAAACTGAACGAAAACGTTTTTATTTGAAAAGATATCTTCTCGAAATTTGGCACGATTGTTGCTTAAGGTATCGGTATAATCAGCGAAGCAATTCTTCAGATCGGACCAATATAGCATATAGCTGCCATACAAGCTGAACGTCTGAAATTAAGTCTTGGATGAAAAACATTTTTATTTGACAAGGTATCTCCACGAAATTTGACAAGGATTATTGTCTAAGGCATCGCTACAACATCCTAACAAATTGTTTGGATCGGACCGCTATAACATACATCTGCCATTTAAACTGATCGATCAAAGTCAAGAAAATGCTTTTATGCTATAACAAATGCATCTAGCTGTGAAGGGTAGGTTCGGTGCAGCCAGAGTTAATGTTTTTTCTTTTTTTATTCTCTTTAAAATGCGTGTAACAGCTACCTTTATTATTTTTTGCTTTTGTTTGACCAATATTTTGATATTTGATTGGCGGGAATTCGTCATTTTAAGGGTTTTAGAAAGATTTTTTTAAATAGGGCTCAAATACGCATTTGTATTGAAAGGATGAGAAGGTTCCGACAAAGTATTATTTTTCAAATTTTACTATAGGTCACTTTAAACTTAACTTAGATATAGATTTGGATTTCTCATATTGTACCTTTGTATTTAAAAATACATATTTATATTCAAGTCATTATAAAAAAAAAGTTGATGAAACATTCGGCATTGGTTTAACTCAACTGTGTACTACTATGTAATTTGTAAACAATAAATAAACCTACTCAGCATTTATTTGAATGTAATACATAGTATATACTACATATGTATCTATATATCTATATGAACTAAAACGTGCGTTAATTAAATGTACCGCATTGAGCGCTGAAGTAATACTGTTATGTGTTAATTACATATATAAATGAACATGCTATTACGAATATTACATACATATATTTAATAGTGTAGCAAAATCGAAAATATATTTGAATGCTTTTGAATGCTTATTTTTTTGAAAATACCTAAAGTTTATCACAGAAGATGGTAATGCTGAGTTATTACATCACAATATACTATCCCATGAAATAAAATATCTACAAATGCCATTCATTGAAGAACAAATTATAGACGGAAAGACTAGCTGTCAGCTAGGTAAACGTACTTCCACACCAATTTTGTGTTCTATACTTGATCTCCAATATTAACAAATTTAAAAATATAATTTGGATGCGCACAATAAAACGTCTTACCCTAAATGAGTAATCACATGAATGTGTGCACTAATCAATGCAAATATTTGCTTACAATACGATTGGCTTCTCCCAGGAACTGTACAATTAATTCATCTTCGGGCTCATCAGAATAATAATAACCTTCATCACAATGATCATTGTTGCCAGCAACTCCGGCATCATCAACAATATTTTTATTGTTGCTTTCTATGCGTGTTGTGGAACTACTTTTTAACAATGGATTAGGCGTCTCAGCGTCAACATCAACTATACAACGCGGCGTTATGGGACAATATGAGTCAACGCCAACTTCTCTTGCGTTTGGTTGGTCGTTGTCGCCACACAGCACTAAGTTAGTCGGTGTAACTTTCTGCTTATCACTTGCACTGGTTGGCGCATTATCAGTGCTCACAATTGGCACACAATCACTGTCGACGTCGCTCGCAACAACGTTCGTTGATCTTGTTTTATTGTCATGAGAATTTGTGTCGGTTACATGGTTATTAAGAGAAAATGTACCGGCAATATTTGCACATGCTTCACCCTTTTTGTCCGCATCTTGTGTGATGGGAAGATGATGAGTGTTATATTTTTGAATGTTCGCATTTCTTTCGACATTGTCGTTAACGCCGCTGTTTACGTCAACGTCGTGGTCGTCGTCGCTAGTATTTAACTCGTCTAACAGGTCGGCTTCGCTATAGTCGAATCCCTCCTCGATGATTTCATCGTTACTATTCGTACTAATACTTGTTGTGTACTTTTTATTTAAACCACAATCTTTGTTGTTTTGATGTTTTTCCTTATTAGATGAATCTGTAGCAATGCAATTATCATCACCAACACGGGACAGGACGTTATTGTTTAGAGCATCTGACATATTGTGACAATTTCGTTTATTTTTTATTTTTTTGCTATCACATGTAATATTTTGTCAATGAGTTTCTTAGCACATTGAAACTGGTTAGCCCTTGAGCTCAATTTTTTTTATTATTTTTTGTATGGCTTGCTTGCTTGTGCGCCGAACTGGCGGAATTAGTTTTCAAACACAGCTGTATAGCACCGACTTATATAAAGGTTTAAAAAAATTTACACAAACAACCAACAGTGTTAACGTTCTTTTTGCTTAATATTTTCATTTGTTTATTAATTTTTTGTCTCTTGGAATGTGATAAGTAATATTTTGTTGATTCTTTAGCGATTTAGTACGAAGGCATGCGGTTAGTACGTACTCACTACACCATCGTCTAGCAACTGACTGAAGACTCGCTTGATTGGCTCTAGAGAGTGCGAACTTCCAGTACGAAGAAGTGCTATGCCGACGGGGATTATCGTTAAAGCTTAAATTTAAACAAATGTCGGTGACGGCAAATGGCAGAGCAAGTAGGATATGAAGTCGTCGATTTGAAATATGAAAATTATAATTGAATGAAATATAAAGTTTGAGGAGAGAGCACTCCGTTCGTTTGTTGGGTTGATCGATTACTTGGATTGAATTGTTAGCGAGGAAGAACGAACGTAAAAGAGCGCAGAGGGTAAAAAGAGTAACAAATAGTGGAGTGCTGAGTAACTTTAGTTAACATATGTATGTATGTAACAATGTGGTAAGAACATTAGGGTGGACCAGATGGTTTATTTGTATGCAAGATCATAACTACAAGGAATTAACAAAAAATTCTATCAATTTAAATAAAGTAATGACTACGATTTTTTAATTTTTCTTATAGAATATGGTAAAATGTAAGAATTTTATAATATCTTCTCTTTTACAAAGGGGAATATAATAGTTCCACAGTATTTTGAACTACACTAATGATTGTGCAAGCATTTTTGTACAATTGGTATACCTGAACGATTTTAGTGCGTACATAAAGTCACACATACACATACATTTTGTATAGATGTATACACAATATGTGCAGTTTTGGTAGGCAGATATGAAAATTACTCAAGAGGTCCCATGTTTAATGTCTAACTGTCGTTGTTGGTGTTGTCTTCAGTTAAATAAGCAAGTGAAGGTAAACAGTTTCGTGCATACATATGTATATACATACATACATACATAAGTGTATTCCATGTCGTCATAACTGGCATTCCATTATTTAAATGATCATGATCCTACTACATTTGCTATATTCAAAACTCATCCAACTTAGATGATGATTTCATAATATTAAAGATCAATGAGAGAAAAATAAAAATAATAAAAAGGAAGAAGCTTATATGAATATTATTTAAAATGTTATAAGTATTAAAATAACGGTGTTATTTTTTGCTTTTTTTGTGATAATACAAATCCCTGATCTACATGGCCTATCAATAGCTATCATATTACTGTTGTAACGGCATAAAACATTCCACAAATAATTTTGAAGAATGTCGCTGAGTTAACAGTCCTGGGGTCCGTTCCGGTTATGTAATGAATGTTATTTCCCAAATAATTTTTAGAAAAGCTGCCAGTCAATGGACGCATTAAAATTCGAAACCGTTCCGATTTCGTATAACAGTCTGTCATGTGCTCGTATATTTTAGGGACTTTCAAACTGTTAGGTATACTGAATAACAGTTGAGTATGAGTATATGGTAGTAGAGATTAAAAGAATGAAATACTAATTGGAGAAATACTGACGAGCTGAAAGTCATTTATCGGATAAAAGACAAATCAATTGAATATTAAAACACAGTTTCGAAACAATTCTATTCTAAGATCTATTTATAGTCCTACGTAAATATTATTCTCAAAACAATTCTTATCTAATCCTAATATACTGCCGCATAAGCTTATTTTACTGTTAAATGTTTTTTTAAAAAGTTTGCCAAGATACAGAGTAATGCTTTTACGATTTATTTGTTAACAAAAAGAAAAATATATATATATATTTTTTTATTTTAATTATTTAATATTATTTATTAATTTATTTCAATTAAGTTTTAATGTCTTGAAAGTCTAATTTGGTAGTTACTGCCGAATTGACAATTTTAGATCGCTGGATTGAAATATATCCCATTTTCGTCTTAATTGGAGGTAATTTTTATAAATTGTTTCATATATAACCAATTAATATCTCTATTACGGTTTTCAAATCCACTCGGTTGAACTGATGTTAAATCAATTCAACTTCAGATCAACCCAACTTTTTTTTTGGTATTACAATTTTACACTATTTTCAGTCGAAGTTTAATTGGTGTTGCCAACCCAACAAATGAAAAGTTAACAGATAATTAAACAGCTGAAAATTTTTAAACGAAAAATCAAAACAATTTAATATAGTTATTGCTCACGAAAAGGTAAATAATTATTAAAATGGACATTAGTTTTGATTTAGTATATTATGAGGACAAAAATGTTGGTGTCAAAACTGATGTAAGAAAAAGTCTTCGTAATCACTCAAATCCATTCGACCATCCTAACACCAAATAAGCCACAGTTTTATTGACAATTAAATGGTTTTTAAATACAAGGTGCGTTCCAAAGTAAACAGTAAAAAAGTAACAAAGTAAACTCTAGTTAGAATCTGCTATCCTTTATCGACTTCCAGTAAAAATTTCATGACATTTTATCTATTGTTTTAAGTGTCAGTATGTTTTTGTCATCGGTGCGAAAATGAGCTTCGAACAAAGAGCCAACATTAAATTTTGTTTTAAAATTGGTAAAACTTTTACCGAAACGTTTCAATTGATGAAAGAAGTTTATGGCGATGATTGCCTATCCCGTAGCAGAGTGCACGAGCGGTTTCAACGTTTTCAAAGTGGTCGTGAGGACATAAATGAGAAATGAGCCGAAACCCAAAAAATCGCGCCTGGAGAAGTCAAAAGTGAAGACAATGCTGATTTGTTTTTATGATTTCAAGCGTATTGTCCACAAAGAATTTGTTCCACCCGGCCAAAACGTTAATGCGGTATTCTACTTTGGAGTTTTGAAGCGTTTGGTGCGCCGTATTCGATGTGTTCGGCCCGAATATCACGAAGATGAAAGTTGGCGTTTGTTGCACGATAATGCGCCGTCTCATCGATCGACGTTTGTGGCCGATTATTTGACCAAAAATCACATTTTAACAATCAACCACTCCCCGTATTCACCTGATATGGCACCGTGCGACTTCTACCTTTTCGGAAAAATGCATTTGCCGATGAAGGGAAAGCGTTATGCAGACGTGGAGGCCATTCAAAAGGCTTGCACCGGCATACTGGTCCTGTTTACTTTGGAACGCACCTTGAAATGTTTATTACAGATTCATTAGTTGTTTTCGATTCAATGAGGAATAATTTTTTTTTTTTTACGAAATGAGATGAAGGAACGTTACCACAAACTCTCCATTTCCTTCCTGTCGTTAGTTATCAATAAAGTATTATAATGATTTTAACTTTAGGCTGAAGCAACCTATGATGTCTATAATTGTTACAAAACTTGCTTTTAAATATTATGAGCACCATATTTGAGTGCACCAATCACTGAAGACGAGCAAAACGCTTCAAAAGCTTAATTTGACTTAAAAAGTATATTCCTATGAGTAATAAATTGTATCAAATCTTTATGTTTGAGACACTCCCATGATCCCTTAATTTTATTATAATGTTTCTAAATTGTAGCTTGTCTCGTCCAGTTTCGAGATTTTACTCCACGAGCTGAACAAATGTTTCACCTTTCTTTGGATTTGTACATAATAACTTATTAAAATAGTATGAAATTATGAATAAAACACTTATTTTTACCATTTTCTATTTGCTATTAATATTTTTCAACCCCACTGGCACAGAGTTGAAACCGTAATATCAAAAAAAAAAGTTGAAGTTTGACAACGTTTTAACTGAAATTTTTGTGACGGATTGAGTTGAAAACCATAATAGCGAATTTCAAAACTTCAATCAATATGCAGTTGTGTTGAAACCCGTAATATGTTAGGGGCTTAAATTTGGAATACTAGTTATAATATGTGTATCTACTTATTTATCTAAACAAATCTTTCTATTTATTTAATCCGAGTTTTCCTGAGGCATGTGGTTATTATAATAGTGTATACTACTTCTATGAATACAGTCCTTTGTCGGATATATGCATGTATGTACCGTACGTTTTGTTTAGACATCTTTTATTACAAATAAAACAGTCCCAATTCGTTGTCTTATATTCAAATAACTAAATATCATGCGGTTCCAAAGAAATTACACATTTTCAAGATATTTAAAATTTTTGTAATTCACAAATTAATTTTGCACTGCTGTAAGGCAGCGGCTGGTAGCTAAGAGATGTTCGGGAATATTTTTTTACCACAATACTTCTCTTTGATTAAGCATGTATAAAGATTATTATAATCCTATAGCAATATTTTCCATGAATCTCATGAGTAATTCGCCATAGTAAAATGTACAACTTTATTAGTCTAGAAAATTTACTCACTTCTTTTGCTATTTGATCCAGTGCTTGATCTTCAGCATTTAAGCGTGAATTACCTCGACGTCTGCCAACAGCTCCACTGCTGTCCATATCTTCTTTTCTTCTGGTATTTTATTATATACCAGTAAAGAATTTCACCTAAGAGAATATAGAATCTTATTAATATTAAACATGTTAAAAACGTGCATATATATACATGTATACTTATATACTTGCGAAATGTACAGCGAAAAAGTGGAATTGTCAATAATAGTGTTGGTTTGCACATTGCCGTATAGTAAATCGAAGTGGAAGTTAGTCGCACCCAGTTGCAGTTTCTACACTGACAATGTTCGTTCTAATATGAAGCCTTTTAGGGGGTTTCATGTCATATTTTATTTACGTTCATATACAACTGCACATGTTTATCAAGTTAACTAAAACAATATTCAAGGATATAAACCGACCAATCACGATGTTTTAGATCATTCTCAAGGCGACTAATTCATTGAATACAACTTTTAATTCAAATCTATTGATTCAAATGATTACTTCCAAAGGATAAATAAGTTATATCATTTATTGACACATGAGTTTTTCTTCGACAAAGAACAATAAAAATGAGATTGGCAAAACAGAATATTGCTTTAAGTTGCGGCCAACACCTTATACTTTTATACGTCATTCTTATAGGACATTAATAGGCAGATCATATAAGCATGAGTCTTGTAGAAGAAAACTATGTATATGGGGTGATAACAAAGTTATTTACTGATTAAGGAACTTGTTTAATTTTTTGTAAATGTTTTAATTTGCTCCACATTTATATTCGTTTGAAACTTTAATCTTCACTGCCGCCCCCTCCAAGTAATCTTTTATTACTTTTCTCCTCTTACACTGACCGTACGTTCGAAATCTATCACATCAACGTCACTCACTCGTCAATTTCTACCACCAAGCACTGCCGGCAATGAGGCTAAAAAGTCCATTCTGTAACTAGAAAACGGACATTTAACTTACAAACCAAGGCTGCTGCTGCTAAATTTAAAGTTTGAAGTATTTCGCTTTATTTTTGTGTTTTCTTTCCGAAATTTGTCGGTCGGGTTTTTAAGATTTTGGCACACACACACTCTGACAGAAATACAAAAGCTGATTTCCAGTGTTGCAGATTCAGTGTTGCCAAAACCCTTCTCAAGAAAACGAGCTGCCATTTTAATATCTAATAAATAATTACTAAAAAATGTAGTTCTAAATTCTCTGGTTCATATATCAGAGAATGTAAAATATATAAATAATATACATTCTCTGCATATATTACTAAATATACATAATTACACAAGTTGTAAATTAATTATTTAATGCACAAATTCATGTGTACTGGTTAATTCCAATATTAAAACGAGGAACTCATAAATGATTCACATAGTACAAAAAACTGACAAAAGACATTTATAATATTGTTTTAACATTTTTAAAAATTTAGCCGGTTGCTTATATCTTATCGAAATATTTAATTATAATATTAATTTATATATTCCATAATAAATAGTGTCGATTAATATGAGATATACATCGTATTGTTCGCAAAAGGCACATCCCTCTCCAAACGACATAATCAATTCACAATAATATGTCACTTGCGTGAATGCATCATATCGTGGTTTTCTTCCTGGTTTATTAGAAATTGTTTTTATACATTTATACTTCTTTGGAGAACTAATTGCTAAAAATGAGGAAAACGATAGTGTTCAGATAAGAAACAGACTATTAAAATAATTTAATAAATAGAAACCATAGTGGATATTCTAATTTGGTTTTTGCCGGGAAATATTAAGAACTGTCGAAAGGTCATTAATTGGAAGTGGACGATAGTGCATTATTTTTTTTATTACAATGTCCAAGTCCTATTCGGGGTGAGTAGTTTTTTATGTCACTTTTAAAAATTTATTTTACAGTAATATTTTAGGAGAGACCGCGAAAGGGAGCGCGACCGCGAACGTGAACGCGACAGGGATCGTGAGAGAGAGCGAGAGAAGGAAAGGGAACGTGAAAAACGCCGGTATTCCAGAAGTAGGTCAAGATCTCCTAAAGAAAGCAAATCTTTTCGAAATGACAATGGAAACGGTAGAGGTCGGGATGACCGAAAAAAAGACAGAGAGCGAGAACAGAGAGAAATTGATCGCAGTAGACGGGAAGATAAACGTCGAAAGCGTTCTAGATCAAAATCCATTCCTAAAGAGTATGAACGAGATAAATCGTAAGTATTCTAACTTTCAAAAAATTATAATAATTCAACTAATTTTATCGCATACTTAGGAGATTCTTGGATCGTGATAGAGAAAACGCAAGAGAACGTGAGCGAGATAGAGATCGTGAACGAGAGCAACGTGAACGGGAAAGAGAGCGTGAAAGAGATAGAGACCGGGGTCGTGACCGAGAACGTGAACGGGAGCGCGATCGGGATCGCGACCGTGAACGGGAACGAGATCAGGATCGTGAAGTTGAAATAGACAGTAGGCGTAATACTGTACAACCCTTAGTAAAAACAGTCGTTGAGGAGCCAAGTAGCTCTTCAGAGGAAGAATTAGACAAAGAAGAAGAACAACGTCGTCTTGAGCAAGAGATGATAAAACGAAGAGAACGCATTGAACGTTGGCGTGCTGAACGAAAATTGAAAGAGCTGGAAATCAATAAGAAAGATCTAAAATCTTTGCCAATACCAATACCATCTAGCACCACTAAAAAATGGAGTTTGGAAGACGAATCTGAAGAAGAAGATAATAACGGTAATCAAGCAGTGCTAGCAACTGATATTAAAAAAGAGCCAGATTCACCACCCGCAAAATTCCAACGTTTGAAAAAATTGCAAGAGGATGATGAAGATGAAAACGAAGAAAAACCAAAAATTAAAAAGTTATCCAAACTTGATGACGACGAGAATGACGATGACGATAAAGCAAACAAAAAAGAAGTTGATGAAAATGATGATATTGATCCTTTAGATGCATATATGCAGGAAGTTGACAAAGAAGTGCGAAACGTGAATCACATTGTGACACAACCTAAAAAACAACAAAGCGTTGTCATTTTAACGGGTGTAGCTAAAAAAAGTACAGAAAAGGCTAACAAAGGTGAGCTAATTGAACAAAATATGGACAGTCTGGAATATTCTAGTGAGGAGGAATTAGAAGACATTAAAGACACTGCCGCCAATTTAGCCAATAAGCATCGTAAAGAATTGGCTAAAATCGATCATTCGGGCGTAAATTATGCATCATTTCGTAAAAATTTTTACGTTGAAGTACCAGAGTTGGCGCGCATGTCGCAACAAGAGGTAGATAAATATCGTGCCGATTTAGAGGGCATTCAAGTGAAAGGCAAAGGTTGTCCGAAGCCAATTAAGGTAAAAATTTTCAATACAAAATTTATATACTCACAAAACATAAATTTATCGTACAAATTAAGTTAAAAATTGATAATTTTGCATTGTTGCTTTGTCTAAGTTGTATGCGGTTAAATTCGAAAAGCGATATTTTGCCATTGGTTGACTGAAATATGAGGAGTTTAGTACCCATATATGTACTTGTATATACAATTATTGTTCATGGTAAATTAAATGTTTGAACTACAATATTATTGTATTTATTTTCTCTAACTGGTATATGTTTATAATAAGCACCTTTGTATGTTTATAATTTGTTTCGGTTTCTTTTGCGTAGACCTGGGCACAGTGTGGCGTGAGCAAGAAAGAAATGGATATTTTGCGAAAACTAGGGTTCGAGAAACCAACACCCATCCAAAGTCAGGCGATTCCGGCAATTATGTCTGGACGTGATTTGATAGGTATTGCTAAAACTGGCAGTGGCAAAACGCTCGCATTCATTTTACCAATGTTTAGGCATATACTGGATCAGCCGCCATTAGAGGATGGTGATGGAGCTATTGCTATTATCATGGCACCAACACGTGAGCTATGTATGCAAATCGGCAAGGACATACGTAAATTCTCGAAAAGTATTGGACTACGACCTGTCTGCGTCTACGGTGGCACTGGTATATCAGAACAGATAGCTGAATTGAAACGTGGCGCAGAGATCATTGTCTGCACACCCGGGCGTATGATCGACATGCTGGCAGCCAATTCTGGACGTGTCACAAATTTACGCAGGGTGACATATATTGTTCTTGATGAAGCTGATCGCATGTTTGATATGGGTTTTGAGCCGCAAGTAATGCGCATCATCGACAATGTTCGGCCAGACAGACAAACAGTAATGTTTAGTGCAACATTCCCACGGCAAATGGAGGCACTAGCACGTCGCATACTTAAAAAGCCCATTGAGGTAATTGTAGGTGGGCGTTCGGTGGTGTGCAAGGACGTCGAACAAAATGTAGCCATATTAGAAGACGAGGCGAAATTCTTTAAACTTCTCGAGTTGCTTGGTGTGTATCAGGAGCATGGTAGTATAATTGTGTTTGTGGATAAGCAAGAAAATGCCGATATATTGCTACGTGATCTTATGAAGGCTTCGTATCCGTGTATGAGTTTGCATGGCGGTATTGATCAGTTCGATCGCGATTCTACAATACTTGACTTTAAATCGGGAAAAGTTCGTCTATTAATTGCAACATCTGTAGCTGCACGCGGTTTGGATGTGAAAGATTTGATACTTGTGGTCAATTATGACGTACCAAATCACTATGAAGACTATGTTCACAGGTGAAATATTGTATTTGTTTTACTGCATTATGAACTATTAATACAATTTGAATTTATAGATGTGGACGCACCGGACGTGCCGGAAAAAAGGGCTGCGCTTGGACTTTTCTTATTGCAGAACAGGCTCGTTATGCTGGTGACATTATACGTGCACTAGAATTATCCGAGACGAAAGTTCCTAAAGACTTACAAAAATTATGGACTGAGTACAAAACAGCACAAGAAGCCGAAGGCAAGAAAGTTCATACTGGTGGTGGCTTTAGTGGAAAGGGCTTCAAGTTTGATGAACAAGAAGCTAACGCCGCAAAGGAAAGTAAAAAGTTGCAGAAAGCAGCACTTGGGCTGGCAGATTCGGATGATGAGGAGGATATTGAACAGGATATCGATCAACAAATTGAACAAATATTTGCAGCGAAACGTACGGTTAAAGATACCTCGGTACCAACACCAGCTGTAACGGTGACGTCCACCACAGGTACCACTACTTCTACAGTCAGCAACGTTACAATTGCCGTTTCTGGCTCAGATAAGTTAGAATTGGCAAAACGTCTCGCTTCGAAGATAAGTTCAACAAAGAATTTAATGGCGGACGGTAAACCACAGGTGTCTGCGGAAACTATACTAAAGGGCAGCAACACAGGACAACCGATGATAACGGCACGTTCAGTAGTAGAACAATTAGCTGCTAAATTAAATAATAAATTGAATTATCAGCCAAAAGATGATGAAGATGGCACCAATCCTTTGCTACCAAATCAACCAAATTCCTTCACAAAATATGAAGAAGAACTGGAAATTAATGATTTTCCACAACAAGCTCGTTGGAAGGTCACATCCAAAGAAGCATTAGCTCAAATATCAGAATATTCCGAAGCTGGACTAACCGTTCGTGGTACCTACGTGCCACCTGGTAAAAACCCACCTGAAGGTGAACGTAAATTATACTTGGCGATCGAAAGCTGTAGTGAATTGGCAGTACAAAAGGCAAAACGCGAAATAACACGTCTTATTAAGGAAGAACTACTGAAGTTAAGTTCAGCGCATCACGTTTTTAACAAAGGCAGATATAAGGTGCTCTAGTCGTTCGTAATAATAAGTAACTATCAAATTCTTTTGTAGAACCTAAACCTCAAATATGTAATGTATTAATAAATTAGTTATCCCCTTCAGGATACACAAATCTTGTGGAGTTCCATTATACGGAAATCTTTCATTATTATTTACGTATTTAGGAATATTTTTATAGATACAAAAACTATGCCTAAGTAAATATTTAATTTACAACTAAGTCCGGCAAATGAAAAACGTAAGAATGACAGAATTATATGGAAGCAAGTCTTAGATAGAACCAGTATTCAAATGACAAGTTCGATAACTGTTACAAAAGACAAGTAATTCTATAAAAAACTTTGATATTATTATTACCTATTACATTTTTTATCTAGTAAACTTATGTTACTTCAGTAAAAAGGATATATTGCATTATAAGTCTGTGTTGTGTATTGTTCGTAAAAACCTTGTTATAGCAGAGAACGTATAGTAGTAATATTCGTTCTCCAGTTATAGGGTCTTTATAACTGCATGGCACAGGGTGCACAATATGCACATTTTTATGTAAAAGTTTAAAATTGTGGCAACTTGAGCCTGTTGCATTGTTGCCAACATCATGAATACAACTATTTAAATTTTGACAAGTTCAATTGAAACCGTCCACTAACCGCGAAGAAAATTTAATTGGGTTATAGTTTTTTTATAAAATAAATCATCTTAAGGCTGGTATATTTAAAATAATGGACGCTGCAGCATTATTTGTGCAGCCGCAAACGGTAAAAGATTTACCAAACAATTGCTGCAAAGATCAGAAGCAAAGTCGTTCTTGTGATTATACAAAAATATCAGGGATTGTAACTTTTGTGCAAGAGGAACATGCCGCCTATAAATACACCGTCTATCGATGCGCCTCCAAGATTATAAGCCTACAAAAACTATTGTTTAGTATGTTCCAACAGCAATATTATATTATAACTTAGTAAATGTTTTGTCTTTGTTAGCTTCAAATATACCATACAAACTTGTACAGGCGTTAATGGGTCGATATCATATACTGGATGTGGATGCTAATTTTATGGTACCTCCGTTCCAGTTGACAACGTTTATTCATGATCTATACTATGCTTGTGAAACATTAGGACATTTTAATACATTCACAACATATTGTATTGAAAAGGCAACAAGTGTATTAGCGACTTTCTTTTGGAATTTATTTGATCCGTAAGCACACATGTTAATATATTATTTGTTAATTATTGGTTAAATATTTAATTTTGGTTTTAGGAATCGACGACATTCCATCTCTGTTTTGGAAATAAAAGTTATGTTTTTGTTACTTTCAAAACATATTGGATTACTAGATTGGAGTGAAGAATTTTATAAATTGCTGCATGACCCTAAGACAAAGTGTGTTTCAAAGAAAAACTTTGAGTATTTGGTGAATATTTTGACGAAAACGTTTAGCTATATCGGTGAGGAGCTTGCTTATGGTTCACAAAACAAAACAATAATAATGGAACAGTGCTTTGGGAAGGTCAGATTAAAAATAAGAAAATAGACAATAGTTTTTTAGATTTATTTTTATTTTTTTTTATATTCAGTCACTGAATTCTTATGGCTTAACTGAGCTACAATTCAAAAATTTATGGAATGATAATCGCACACGGTTGTGCATTTTTGTAAACCTGATAAGTTTAATTAAACGCATGCAAGATACTGAAAAAATTACACATAACAAAAATTGTGCTGCTTGCAATATACAAATAATCGGTATACGCTTCAAATGCAGATCGTGCCACGATTTGTCTCTTTGTTTGTCCTGTTTTGCAAAGGGTTACATAAAAGGTAAACATGAGGCAAGACATCGTCTGACCGAGGTGTTCAAGGAGGTAATATTTATTATTTACTTTATTAAAAATTTACTTATAAATTGTAATATGCATTACTTCTTATAGGATGAACCGCCAAAGCGTATCTCGTATATCTTTGCTTCAATTTGTAATTTTTTCAAAATGAAGAAACAAAGCAACGAAGAATGTAAAGGCTTTTGCAATACAGATGAATCTAACAGTGTTGATGAAACGGAACTGGAAATAATAGCATCTGACCATACAGTAAACAGTGAAATAATGACCACAGTTATTGAGGTCAAAACGGATGCAATTGAAAGTAATTATAAGTTTTTTATAATATAACTATTTGTTTTTGTGGTAGGGGCGTTAGAAAGATATAAATACCACTTCGTTTATGTCTATGGTTTCGGTTGTTATTATATAATACATTTTCTTGTAGTTTTTAAATATTATTTATTTCAAAACATTTTATTTAATTTTTTGTGTATTCTAGCTTCGATTGCTGGACTTTCAACTAGCGCTTCAACGGCGTCAAATGTTTCGGAGCATCTGCAGTCTATCATCGATAGGCTATTGCAGCAGAACTCGTACGTATAAATCCATACATATCTGTGGAATTTTCATACAAATTTTGCTGCCTACTAAGTGTTGGATTTCATCTCTCAAACTTTTTATGATATTCCGTGAAAATTAATAATTTTTGCAATTCTCATTTTATGTCGTTCTAGTAAACTGGAAAAACAAATTAAAATCGTGAAAACTGCGACAAATGAGGAAATTTCCGATTTTCTGCAATCGCATCAACACTTTCTGATTGGAATCATAAATGAAATGCGAAGGTTTTCGGTAGGAAATAAACTTAATTTAATTTATATACCAAAATGTATATAATCTGTTTCAGCAAATATCGAAGTCATTGAGTTCATATCCCACGTCTAGCACCCCGAATCGATCCCATTCTGACAAAATGCATATGCAAAACGTAGCAGCAACAGTAGACAACTTTAGCGTCATGGGAAGCAATCTAACGCATTCGAGTAAGTAAAAATAAGGTTTTGAATAGGAGAAGTTCCGACGATAATCGGCCCTACGTAACCGGAACAGAACTGGGTTTTTATCCCGCCATTGACTCGGCAGCATTCCTTAAAATTACTTAAAGGATGTTTTTTGCCGCTACAACAACAAGAAGTTTCGTAATTTAATTAAATCTTACACTTTTCACAGTTAATGGCGCCGACTTGAATCGAAGTTATTTGGAAGCAAACAAATCGGATGCTTCGGTCAACGACGTGAGTACGTGGTTTAATCAGCGAAGATCATCGGCTTTAATGCCAATACCGAACGCTACCATCACAGATTGTGGTGTGGAAACTGTGCAAGAAATTAATTCAAAACCTAATGGAAATAGAATGGACACAGTTGACGAATTTGAAATTGTTGATTTGCGTGACACCGATATGATAAATTTCAAGCTGTTATTGAATAAAGTTAAAGAGATTGTCGAGGACTCTTTTAGTGATAATACTGAACTAGCAGCAGCAACACAAAATTTGGAAAATGTGCTAGATAATATCGTAAAGAATGAGGAGAAGCGTAGAAGTAGTACTTAATGTTGAACACTGGGTAACAAACCGATTTATGCATGCGTATTGCAGCTATATATGCAATGTATAAGTGTTCTGAACATTACGTTAACTATACATTCTTCAAATTTGTAAAATTTAATAAGTGCCGTTTGTACATATAAGCCAGTTTGTATATATTTACTGAACCTAACCTGCAATTCGCCAAAACCAAAACTAAATTTATTATATTATATATAGCCGTCCACTCAAATTTAGATAAATAATGGTAGTAATAACGAATTTAATTGTACAATATCTGCAATACGATACAAAAGTTCAGTTGTGTGAAAACATAGAAGATGACATTGGCTTTATATGAAAATATTATTAATAGCCTACCAGATAGAGAAAAGCAATCCAATTAATTTAATTATTTAATGATACTTGACTAAACTTACGTGTATGTGTAAAAAATATGTTCTTATGAATAATAAACGCAAATCAAAATATGTTAACGTAATTAGAAGTATGTTTCCAAAAATCGTATTGATACTTCAAGAAAGTAGTTGTTATAGCAGCATTAAATATTCCGCAAACAGTTTTGGGCAATGTGGCTGGTGTAGCAGTTCGTGGGCGGATATTGATCTAGTACCGCTCCAGTTATGTTGACTAGACTATAGAGGGAACTATTCAATATTGTTTTGAATAGTGATTCAGAACACGTCTTTGACTGTTGTTTTTCCATATATTATATTTGTTTGCATGATTTACATGTCCTTAAAGGGAGAACTATATCGTTGAAGCTCTATTAACAGTAGCCAGTCCTTCGGAGTTCATCTGCAAGAAACTACTAATCAGGACTCCAAAGAGGGATGTCAAAGATATGAACTGATGTATTGTCTTTCGAGTCCACTCTGTTTATAGTTGTTGGTTTTGCAAATGCTGCTTTGATAATAGAACTAGGTCCTACTGTTTTGGGAATACCTCAATTTAGACATCATTTTGTATTATACTTGTATTATATAAATTACTGTAGGTATGACAGAGTTGGTCCAATACTAGGGCTGTCCGATAGGGACTTAGCCTACAAAAGAAAAATAAAATATTAGAAAAATTGAGATTTACTACTGTGCTTAAAAAATAACGTGAATTTGTTTATAAAACGAAAATTGTGTATTTATTCTTTGAATCAACTTCAATTCTTTTAAAGTAATCCCCGTCCGATAAAACGCACTTTTGCCAACGCTTTTTCCAGTTCTCAAAACAGTCGGAGTAGTCTTTAACCGATATAGTCTTCAAGATCTTCTTCGATTAGATTTTTATCTCCTTAATCGTGTCCAAACTGCGTTCCCGCATTGGCCTTTGAGTTTGTTGAATATCCAGAAGAAGAAGACGGAGTCAAATCAGGTGAATACGGTGTTGCGAAACGATATGAGTCGAAGTCGCGAAAAACGAAGTACTCAAAGTTTTAAGTTTAAGCTTAGAACTTATCGAAACCAAAAACAGCTGCTGTGTTAATTTTAAAGGATATAAGTAAACAGTAATGTGGTATATACAGTAGTTTTTGGGTTCCGGTGCATACCCATATTATTTATTTATTTTATATTATTTAAAGTTATACAGTTCACCCTAATACATATACATATGTACAAATATACAATCGGAATCGAATAAATTCTCTTATTTATATGTGTGGAAATTTGGACATATGCACTAGTGTATATTATGTCTATATTAGATTTTATCACTGATTGAAAATCATTATGGCATCTCAAAGCACTCTCTAGTAAAACTTTGAGATAATTCAAAAGCAAAAATTCTTAACACTTTCGCTATTGCAAAAGGCGGCTTTCTGTACAGCGTTCATGGTGGATTTGTTAAAAGCAAAATATTTATTCACCAGATAACCTTAGAATGACTGTAGTAAGTGTTGCATTGCAGCCATGACTTCTTTTAAATTTAGAATCTATATTGAATCGGGTCGAAAGATTTTGGTAATCAACATACGAACGAATATATGGCTATCAAACAACTATAATACTAATATAGACGGACCTTGATTAATTGAGTTTATTATATATAATCTTTCTTGTATTGTTTAATATAGAATTCAGGTTGTCGAGTTCGTTAGTATCGGAACAAATGTTCAAATTTCGATGAACGCAAAATACAAAAATAAGGAAAGCTAAGACTTTAATTCGGAGGAGATAAAATATACTTGGAATCGGAAGTACTTTTTATCCGGTAATTGTAAATCGTACACTAGAAATAGAAAAAAATTCGACAAATCGACAGCATCGAAAACATTGCTTAAGCATTAGCTTTATAGCGAATTGTTGAATGGCAAAAGCAGTGTTGTGATATTGTAGAAAACGCAAACGGTAAGCGGAGGTCCATCGAATGCTTTAATGGTGGTAGCACTGAATGAGAGAAGTCAGAAGCTCAGAGTTCAAAAACTATGTAGTTATGATGAGAGCGATTGCCGAGGCTCTTAATATCTGTTTTGTATAGCTTCAGTACCTTATGGTATTTGTTATTTTTGTAACATAAAGCGTCACACAAGTTAAGGTTGGAAAATAGTTGTTTGTCAACGAAACATGAAAAAAAGTCTTTGCTAAAACACTCTAGTCACCAGATTTTGCTTCCTGTCCCTTGTTTTTGCCACCGAAGTTTGAATATCTAAGAGGTCGGTCCAATAAGAACGTAGTCTCACTGCCAGATGGCGCCACTTGGTTTTGACAGCGTGTTGGAGCGGATGTGTTCGCGGATTTTTGGCAAATGGAAAAAGAACGAAATTGGTCGGAGATACGATTTTTGTTGTTGTGACCGTTTTCGAAAGCATCGAACTTGCTCCGAAAAAGGTGAATTCTGAATTATTGTGTAGTGTGGCCTCTTTAATAAGTGCATGCAAAGTTAGATTAGTTGCTGCCATACTAGTATTGAATTGGAAAGGCGCTTATCTCGAAAACGATATATGTATATCAGCTTTAAACTTTAAAATGTTATTAAGGTAGGTCCTGTAATTCACTTTTCATGTTTACTCGTTTGCTCTTTAAACACGTTTGTAAATTGGCTGTAGTTGTAACGCGAAGACAAATAATCCGATTGCTTTGATTTTTTTTCTGCATATTTTGTATGTTTCTCTGTACAATGACTTTACAGTTTTCCGATTGTATGATAAATGCAATTTTGGTGGGCCAATAAACACCTCAATTTTGAGCAAAGCTCGACATTTTTTTCGAAGCCAGTTTGTTAAATTTTAAGTGTTTAACAATAGCATAGGTAATATCTTTTAGATCAATAAATTAAGTATATATAATATAAAAATGATCAGCGTTACGAGCAGAGTCGATTTAGCCATGTTCGTCGGTGAACTAGGTATATACGTGAACCTTTAAGTTTTTGATCTAAGATTTTGCCCTTATTCATCAAGAAGCTGCAAATTTGTCGGAACCACCGAAATCGGAGAACTATGACATACAAACTGAACGATCAGAATTAAGTGCTTGTACGGAAGTCTTTTTAATTTGACGAGGTATATCCATAATATTTGGCGCCGCTTATTACCCTGTGCTATAATTTCCGAAGAAATTGTTTAGATCGACCTACTACAAGTATAGCATATAGCTGTCAAACAACTGCCCGATCAAACTTAAATTCTTGTATCAGTCAAGGTATCTTCATGAAATTGGCATAGATTATTATCCAAAACATCGCTACAATCTCTGAACAAATTAGTCAGATCGGACCACTATTGCTTATAGCTGCCATCCAAACAGACCGATCAAAAGCAATAAAGATATTTTATACCTCTATATGCTAAAAAATGCACATTTTAAGTGGCAGCTGAAGTTAATGTGTTTTATTTTTGTGTTTTTTTTAACCACGGCGAAGGCAATCTCTACAGCAGTAGGTCCTTTTTAGTACCTTGGAAAATAGCAAATAACAAGATAAACATAAATATTTTTTTTTAATTTTTTGTCTATATTCATTAATTATGTATAAATATATCCCCAAAAAATTTTAAAATTATATGCAGCAGTTTTCTTATAAAATATATAAAAATTACCTATTTTAGGCGGTCACACTAGGTTTGCCTCTCAACGCTATAGGCCAATTTCAATGGGAAGGCAGGCATATACCTACATATGTACATATGTATATGTCTATATGTAAATAACAGATAAACTGATTTTTGATAATTTTTGTATTAAGTCGAAGTCGTTCGTTCGTCACTGCTTACACGCTCTGTAAGCTTTCATTTTGCCAATGTCTGGCATACATACATATTTACGTATTTATGTGCATATAACTATTTGTGCAAAGTGTAAACTGCATTTTTCTACATATCGTACTTCTCAGAATTTTATTTCACACGCGGCTACTTGCCTATAGACAGGAAGAGAGAACGCTTAAATAGAAATGTGTATGTATAAATTTGTACTATGCATGCAGGTTTATGTGAAAAAAGAGAATTGCATCAGATCGAGCATATATTTTCATACAAAGTGCAAATGTATGTGTACGTATGTATGTACATGCCATATTTGTAATATTTGCGAATGCAAATAGAAGTTCGAAGAACAGTAAATTCCCAGAATCGCACTGCGACGTATTTTCAGCATTCAGTTGCCGTTTTGGCGGCGAGAAAACTATTTCGATTTGTTGTGAGTTCGTTAATTGTTCGCATATATAAGTGTATTATAGTATCTAATAAAAGTATATTAAAAAAATAATTTTGAGACAAAATGTTCGTGGTATTGTTGAATATATTTTAAATATAATTTTGAGACAAAATATTCGTGATATTGTTGGAAATCATAAATAAAGTGAAAAGTGTTGATTTAAACAGCTGATAAATCAATGTTTTTACATTGAAATTGAAAACCAAAAATCTTGGAATTCAACGTACATACCACCGAATATTTACAAAACGCCAACAAAAAGAAACAAAGATTCAAGGTAAATGTTAATAAATATACTAAAACTGTGGTAAATTAAGAGATATGTAGAGACATACATACTCGTATGGAAATGTTCGAGTCATAAAGGTTAATCATACGCCCAGTACGTACGCCAACAGAGGAAGTGTGTGCTTTGCAAAGCTATCGTGTTAGTGCAGTTTTCTGACAGGAAACTTCTTAAGAGACAGTAGTAAAACTCGCTCGGCTGCAAAGAAATGTATAGCACAACAAAATTAGATCACGTTCCCAGAATACAGCGAGAGAATATATTTTTGAAATTATTCGGTGCGATTATCTGATGGTTTAAACCAAAAATTTAGAAAGTTTTCAACTATTTGAAAATTGTTTAACCAAAAATGTACGAGACAAAGAAAGAGCACAAATTGACCAAGTCTACTACAGCCCTGCAAGTTACCTATCGGCTAAATCATTTAATCATTTGGGTTAATTACTCAAAGGCGATCTCTGTTAAGTGTCTAAGAGTTTCTTAATTCGTTCAATGAATTGGAGTTTCGGTAGCCGTAACTTGCTGGAAGCTTTTAGTTGAAAAAAAAATTTTGAGATTTCTCACCATTTTTAAATTTGAATTTTAGTAAAATTATTCGGATAAAAGATTTATCAGAGTAGAGGTATCGAACTAAAAGGTTTAAGAATACCTACAGTTGAAAATACTTTTGAAATGTGACAACATTGTGATAAAAATAAATTAAAATTTTTTTGGAGAGAGTTACCACCTGTTCTAAAATTTAAATTCAATAAAAGGTGTTTAAAAAACCGTTATTAAAATATAACTATCAAATTGATTAGGTTTGAGTAGGCTTACAATAGAGAATAAGTTAAAAATAATTTATCTATTTAAATAGAAATATGTATGTATGTCATCTGTATGAAAACTGTTTAGCAAAAAAAAGTGCGAGACCAAGAAACAGCGCTAACTGACGAATTCTACTAGAACTTATTGTTCAAAACTTTTTTTTTGGAAAGTTGTCACCGGTTGCTAAGTAAATTTAATTTCAACAAAATTGTTAAGGAGTTTAAAAATATGTTTAATAAAGTTTACAATTCAAAAAATTTTACATTGTTGTAGTCCGATTTCGCCCATTTTCGCCCTATAGTAATATAATAGAAATATGAAAAGAACGTTATGCACCGAATTTGGTTGAAATCGGTTAAGCAGATCCCAAGATATGGGTTTTCACCTAAAAGTGGGCGGCGCCACGCCCACTGACTAATTTTGAACGCGGTTCCTATAAAATCATCTCATACCATCCCAGAGATAAAATTTAATGTCTCTGGCGTGTTTAGTGCTTGGTTTTTCGCGCTTTTAGTATTTTTTAACAGTGGGCGGGCTTGTCACCCGATTTCACATATTTTCACACCGTCAATAGAGGTGCTAAAAACATTTGCTTCCAGTGAATTTGGTTATAATAGCTTTAGTGGTTTAGGAGATATGCACATTAACCTTATTAGGGGCGGGACCACGCCCTCTTTAAAAAAATTTTTTTAACTGAAGATGCCCCTCCCTAATATGATCCTATTATCCCTAATATGATATTATGGTCAGATTACGCCCATCTGCAATACCAAACGTCTTACGGTACCAAGAAACATGTATACCAAGTTTTTTGAAGATATCTCAATTTTTACTCAAGTTACAGCTTGCACAGACGGACGGACAGACGGCAGTCACCCGGATTTCAAGTCGTCTCTTCATCCTGATCATTTATTTATACATATATAACCTTATATCTAACTCGATGAGTTTTAGGTGATACAAACAACCGTTAGGTAAACAAAACTATTATACTCTGTAGCAACAAGTTGCGAGAGTATAAAAACGTTAACTTCGGTTGCACCGAAGCTATAATACCCTTCAGAAATACAAAGGCTCCTTACGAGAACTTGATTTTGATCGGTCAGTTTGTATGGCATGCTATAATGGTCCGATCTAAACAATTTTACGGAGATTATAGCGTTGTCTTGGACAATAATCTATGACAAATTTTGATATTTCGTCAAATAATTTTGATCGTTCAGATTGCATGGCAGGTATATACAGTGATCTGATATCGGCGGTTGCGACAAATAAGCACCTTCTTAAGAAGAAAAGGACGTATGCAGACCTAGAGACAGACGAATATGGCATGGAATACATTGTT